AAATGTATGAAGTTTAACAAAGACAAGTTCCAGATTCTGCATCTGGTATGGGACAACCCTGGATGTATGGACAAATCGGGAATGATAGGCTGGAGAGAAGCACTGTGGAAAGGGACCTGGGGGGTCCTGGTTGATGGCAAGTTGAATGTGAGGGCACAGCATCACCAGCTGGGCAAGGGTGGGGATTGTCCCACTCTGCTGTGCTCTGCAGTGGGGCAGCCTGACCTGGAGTCCTGGGGGCAGTTTTGGGCACCACAATATTAATAAGATATTAAGTGATTAGAGAGCATTTATCACTACATAAAATAGGGGATGAGAGATATCAGTAAGCTTAGGCTGTCTGAGGTCCTCAAACTCCTTTGCAAATGATTCTTAAAGCAGTTTGGAAGTGGTTCTTCACTATATAAAATAATGATTATAGTCAGAGCTACTATGATGACTTTCTTTGCACACAGTGAAATTCAGGGAGAGCCTAGAGCAGGAATCCTTAGTGCACTAATTCCTGATCCTTATTTTTACAAAACTGAGCTCACTTTCTGTTCAAACAGACATTTTCCATTCACATTTCACAGCTGCAGAGTAAGACACATGACTTGAAATCACAATCACCTTCAAAATAGCACAGTTATTCCAAAGAGCACAGTCATTCCAAAGAAAGAGCACAATGATTCACAATGGTACAATTAATCAAGAACATCCACTGGGAATATCTGTTCAAAGGGCTTCAACAGCACTGGGATTCTGGATCCTGCTCTTTTACTCCACTGAATTTTCAGGATAAAGAACAAGTGATTCCACAGCTTTTATCCCTGTAGGCCATAGGCAGGTTTGAAAGAATCCTTATTCTTTGAGCTCCAATGCCTGTTAAATAGGAATCACCAAAGGGAGGATTCCATTTCCCTTTACCTGCTGTTCCTGCTTCTTGCAGGGCCATTGCTTGCCATGGAAACACCCGTGTCTCTCCAGCCAGTCTGGGCATGAAGCAGATGACTAAAATGTCTACAAGTCATCTTAGAAGGTAGCATGGGATCTTGGTAATGATCTGCAAGGCTGCAGCTTTTAACTATTCTAAACTTGCCTTCTTTGGGCTTGACATTTGCAGGGCGTTCCAGGGGCCAGGCTGCTACAGAGCACCAATAGAACAAAACTGGAGCGGAATCTGGCAGTCCTGGATGTTCTCAATTGTTAAGATTCCAAATAATGAGTTAGCAATCAGAAATTTGGGGGCTTTACGTCAGGGGGTACATCTTGCTGCAAAAAAGTGAGGTCTGGCTCCATAGTCAGAGCAAAGTTCAATGTCTAAGTGGACAAGAAGGAACCTGAAACCATTCCACCTTGTGGAATACTCCTGAAATTAATTCTATTTCTCCTTCTGGCCCCTAAATGTCACTGAAATGGTGACTCGTCTTTGTGGCTTGTTTTCAGAACTAATGAAGAGAAGAGAAGCATTCCTATTCTTAATTGGAAGGGTTAGTGACCCAATGTTATTTTTTTGTTCCTTCATGTCCTTGTTTCTTCTCTGTTCAGATTGGAGTACAGGGCATACTTGTTTGGTGTGCTGTACTCTTGGATCCTTTCAGAATTTTTTTTTTCATTGCCTTTCCAGAAGATTCAGTTGCCATGCATAAATTTTCAAACCAACCAAGAACAGCTGCTGCTGTGATGTCAGCAGAAAGTTGCCATGCCACGCTGCTGCTAACAGAATGTTGCTGTTGAATGTTGCAGGCCTGGAAAGCCTGACTTTGCAGAGCACCTCTTTGAAATGCTCATTGCAAGAGGATTCTCCTAATCCAAGGGTTCTCAGTTGACAGGCTTTCCCCTTGCCACTGCAGGTCCCATATTTTTCCTTTTCAGTGCACAGTCTGTGAAACTGCTGCTCAGCATCACTAAAATAGTCAAGCAAATTTTTGCTGCAGTTTGTAATTTTTTTCCACTTGCCTATTCTTTCTCTTCTTGCCCAGACAAAGTCTGGCTGATGATTCAGCTAGCAAGTAAGTAGAGTTTTTTTCCTAGGTGCATCTGATCTGGCTTTTGTATCAATGTGTTGTTCATGCTATCCCTTAGTAACTGAGTTGATTTTGAAGTGAAAATGCCATTAAAAAACTAGTACTTCAGTAAAGCTCATGTCAACAGCTTCAGCCAAAAAGGGGATGTCTGTAGCTCTCTCATGGGGTGTGGGCAGCTTTTGTAATTGAACCTGCAGGTTCTTTTTCCGGCACAGGTTGGCCTGTGGCAGTGGGGTCTGTAATTTCCTCAGCTGCTGGTTAAACAAAGACAAGTTCCAAAGTGCAGGCTGGCAGAGCTTCTGAGAAGTCTGTCTAAAGACTGCAGTTATCTTCAGAAATGAGGGAAATCAACTGATTTTCTAAATTCTGTGATTAAAGGATTTAATGGTCTGACTTTACAATGGTTGGAGAAAAAGAATAGCCTAGCATATTGTGCTGTTTTCTTGCTTACTATGTAAAAGAATTGTTGCTTCTGGAGGGACATCCTGGAAGAAAAATGTTCTTTATTTGGGTTGACTTATTCTGTGGGATTCCCCACAAGAGGCAGTTTTCTAACAACATCTGTTTTATTTTCCCTTGCCCGTTACAGGTGAAGTCACATGCAGATACAGCAAAGCCCATGAGTGAGTGGCAAAGTAACCTCTGACATTTCAAGCATTTCACAATCATGGAGCAAGCCATGAACTTTGCTTGCTGCCATAGAAGCCAGCCTTGTAGCCTGAAAGAAAGTCCATTTCAGTGTCTTTGCATCAGCAAAAAATCCCTGGCTGTTTTTCTCTTGAAGAGCTTTTAAGTAGATGAAAGTCTGGTTTTGCAGACAGAAAGTTGATTGCTGTTTTTAGCCACGGTGGAATATATGGTTCACAACAATATGCAGTGCTGTCTAATTAGCTCACTCTAATTCAGTTTTAGCAACTCAGAATCCCATTTCTATTGAAGTTTGTGATTTCTCCTTAGTATAGCTGGATAGATTGATGCATATTAATAAGATTGCAAATAATTTGTAATGCTGTCTGTCCACAGAGCACAACTCCAGAATCAGCAGCTGCTTGGGCTGCCTTTGTTTCTAAAGAAGATGATGAGGAGGAGGAAGACAACCAAGCTCCACCTGTTTTTGGACCAGAACCTGAGCATCCAAAATCAGTAAGGGCTAGCTTTGGTCAACATTGTGTTTGATGTAATTCAGAGCTGTCTGTTTCTGATCAGGCAGCACTGATCATTCATGGCTGAAAATTCAGAGGGCTGGAGTCCTACTGTGACAAAATACTTCCCCCACTCCCAGCCACTGACACCTGGAAAATCAGGTGATTTTCTCTGAACTTTCAAGTTTAGTCACAATTTTCCTGGCATTCTGATAGAGGGACCATGACTTTATCTTAGCACTGGATAAGAGGTAGCGTTGTGTCTTTAAATGCTGCTGGTGTAAAAATGAACTACTTTGTATCTGAGCAGGCTCCCTGTCATCAGCAGAGACAGCAGTCCAAAAGCAGACATCACAGAAACTGTCCTGTGGAGGTTCCTGCCCCTCTCTGTGGACTAAGGTGCTAAATGAATAGCTTAGACTACACCTTAACTTTTACATGACCAAAATTTGATGGGGAGAGTCCTGTGTAGTCCTGCCATGTCAAGAGAAGGTTGACCTCTGAAGGGCTGGAACATGGTTCCTAATGGACACTTCTTAAAGCCTGAAATACTAATGAGAAGTATCTCTGCCATCCACCTTTCTGACACAAGCTGATTTCTTGTCACAGATCTATGCATCCTCTGGAATAGTAGCTGACACTTTACCAGTGTCCTCTGAAACAGGCATTCCCACACCTGAGAACTCCAGCACCAACAGTTTGTGTAGCAACACCTGCCAGCAGCACAACAGGATAGAGGAGGAGAGTCTAGGGAAACTAAGTAGGTCTTCTGCAGTTCTGGTCTGATAGAGCTGTGTTAATGTTCATAGAAAATGAACACTTGCCTTGGTACCTGTTCTTTCCCTCTATCTGTCTCCTTTGGATGTTCCTTCCTTTTCCTGGTTTCCTGTCAAGGTAACTCTTGAAAGGACTGTAGAAAACCAATCATTGTGCAGGCCATCTGTGCTATGGATTTACCTGTCTTCTTGTTGTTGCTGTTGTTGCTACCCAAATGACTACAGTTCACAGCCCCAGAGAGTGGGGCTGCATTTCTGATCTGCCGCCTGGTGGTATCTCCGTTTTTATGTGATATTTCATTTTGTCCCTTTCAGGGAGGATTGTGAGTGTGGGGGACCCTGTGACAAAATACGTTGGACTGGAAAAAATTGCCAAAGGTTAAGTCCAACCACAGTTCCTTGTCCAGAGCCACAGGCCAGGTATTTTGCTGGTGTAAGATCAAGTGTGAAGCAAGCTCCAAATGTGTCCAGATACAGGGTTTAGATCCTTCTGTCTCTGAGTACTGATCAGAATTTATAACAGTGATCAGAAAGTGTCATCTGAGAACTTCATACAGTAAGTGTCTTGCCTTCAGCAAGGAGCAAGACCTGGAAGATCTCCTGTCCTTCTAGTTCTTGGCACCTCTTTACCTATTTTCTTATGAAAAATCTTTTTTTTTTTTTCCTTGAAATAATAGGGCCCTAGATAGATTCAAATAAGAGATCTGAGAATGGAGCAATAAGAGTTCTTGAGGACTCAGCAAGGCAACATGGAAAAAGAATGAAAGATATTACTTTCCAGATTTTGTAGACATGCTCCATGTCCCACCCCAAGCCCCTCATAGGTTTGGAACTAAAATAAATGCAGTGTGTGCATCTGAGATTTGTACTATACGTTCATGTTGAATCTAAATATTCTTTTGGACACACAGCATGGCAGAGGGCTGGTGGGGTGCTCTTGGCTGAAGAATAGGTGGTGCCAGGTGTTTTTTAAACACTCCAGGCAGCAGAGACCTCCTGTCTGGACTGGCTTTTACTTGTAGGAACTCAATGGCTTCTCCTTTCTTTGCTGCTGTTTTGTTTCCAGGGGTTTCAGAATGGTCTATACAGTGACCAATATTGCCACAGGAGGAGAGGTAAGTGTCAATAATCCCAGATTTTACAGCTGTTGAGTGTCTTTCCCTCTGGTGTAAGCTGTGGCTGGAGCTTTGGGTTTCCAGGAGATCTTTCCTGTAAAGGCTGTTCCTACAAATCACAGACTAGCATCATCCTGCCCAATCCATTTTGGACAGCTCTTTGGGGCTACGGCTTAAGATTTCTGAAAGCTCCTATCTGTCTGACAGCACATATACCTGATTCTTCCTGGTAGCTTCTAATCCCCTTAGAGTACCATGCTTTGTAACTGTGCTTAGACAGAAGTCTACCAGGGACTCGGGGCATATCCATAAAATGCCATGGAGTGGATTATTTCTTTTTAAAGCCAGGAAACAGCTGCAAATCTAAACAGTTCAAGAATGTTCTTTAGAGTTGCAAAATCAAAATTCAACAAGTTAGGAAGTGGTAGGATTCTGGTTTTTGAGGGATAACCTTAACGATCCTTTTAAGATGGCATTTTATCCATTATGTCTGTCTCTATTTGCTTTGTTTTGCCATCAGGAAGAGCAACAGTTGCATTTGAAAAAATTATCGAACTCCATAGAATTCTTAAAGGATTCCCAGATATTTTGTGATATTTTCACAGGAACAGAACTATTTTGTGCTTGCAAACCATGTGTGAATGGTAATAGTAGTGATAAACTAAGACCATTGGAAAAGAATTTAGCTGCAGGGTGTTGTTAGAGCTCCAGGCTTGATAGACTAAGAGACAAATGTCTATGGCCATGTGTCCTACCTAGCACCTGAGCTGACAGAGACATGGGCTGCTGTAATGTCAGTGACTAAGTTCTGATGTGTAATCACAAGGCAGTTTGGCATAGCTGGGCTCTGTTACTCCAGAAGTGCTCACTCCATGTTCATTCTGATCTTATCCCAGAAATACTCACTCCATGCTCATTCTGATCTCGTGCAACAGACTTCTCGGGTTAATGGTTTTCAATGTCAATTTAGGTGGCTGTAAAGCAAGTGAGTCTCCTCCAAAAGGAATTAATTGCCAAGGAACTCCTAGTTGTTAGGAACAATAAGCACCCCAGTATTGTTAACTATTTACATCGGTAAGTAGTTCCGGTATAATTGCGTGAATGTTCATTTGTGTTCTGCAAGACAAAGGTTAAAAATAACCTCTTCAGATACTGCTGGAGAACTGAGCTATTTACTTTTATTTATCTATTTGTATACAATATATGGGAGGAGAATGAACTTTGTTTGCATTAATCTTTTCTGGCATGCATCATTGGAAGCCTGGGTCAGCCCTATCTGACTAAAACAACAGTCCCTAAGTTCACTACCTCCACGTGGTTTTGTTGGTTTGGGGTTTGTTCGGGTTTTTCTTTTTTTTAAGTTGAACATATTTTCTGTATTTTATGGTAAGTGCTGATAACCCATCACAGAAATTATTTCACTGTATTTTTCACTTTCTTGCCATCTAAATCATCTCAGTTTTCATGAATGAGCCTTTCTCATTAGACTGCAGAAGTAGTGTGGAAATAGGAAGAAACTGTAGTGTTTTTCGTAAGGTAATTTAGCTATGCACATTCAACTCCATTGTTTCCTTCTTTCAGTTACCTTGTTGGGGATAGACTCTGGATAATTATGGAATACATGGATGGAGGACCTTTAAGCAGTGTCATTAAAGAAGTCCATATGGCTGAAGGAGAGATGGCAGCCATCTGTCAACAGGTAAGCGATGACACTGGTACTTCTGATTGTTAGGGCAGTCTGTCTAGACAGGTGGAATGAACAGGAGTGATTTCATGTTCAGAGCTTTGTTTCTGTGTTGCTTTGATGATAAGGAGAAGTAAGAGTGTCTTGGGTGGAGGGCCCACCAGTACTACTGTTGTGGCACTCACTTTTTAAAAAAAATTATTTACTTTTCTGAGCATTGCCTCTTTGAACATTTGCCTGGAGCCTGTCTGTATTGTATTCCCTGCCTGTAAAAGCAAACATGCTGGTAGCAGAATTTCAAGCTAACAGCAAACAATTACTTGTCACCTGGGTAGAGAGAGCCCATGCCCTGCAGCAGCAGTCATTCTGTCTGTGTTGGCAGGGGACACTCTGTAATAAATATTGCCATTTCTCTTTCAAGAGGTAATAGGTCTTCACTTAGAAAGATACTGCTCTACTACTGAAGCAGCAGACTCTTCCTCTTGACAACACCATGTTCTGCCACTACTCACCTTTCAGCTAGAACTGAGGTTCTTTAGAGCCATTTTCTTTCTTGGTGATGAAATCAGGTCATTAATTTTTACCCTCCTGTTTGTTTTTTATCTGTCAGTGCTGCAAGCACTAAATTCCCTTCACTTCAACCTCGTGATTCATAGATATGTAAAAATGAATGCAATGAATGCAATGCAATGCAATGCAGTGCAATGAAATGAAATTAATGCAATGCAATGCAATGAATGAATGAAAGCATTCTTCTTGGAATGGATGGATCTGTCAAACTGGGTATGTATTCTTGGTCAAGCACAGAATTCCTGGAATGTGGGGCTGCTTAGGACTGACCACCAGTTCCCCAAGAGCGGTGCCTGTGGGAGTACACAGACCACTGCTGCAAGCTAAGAGTGCAGCTGCCATCTGCAGAGAAGTCTTGAGAGAAATAAGGTGTTTAGAGTGGCTTTGGTTTATGTGTGACTCTTCCAGAGGGTGGGAGTTCCAGTCTTACACTTCAAGTGAATTAAAAGCCACTGAGTGAAATGTGGAGGTTTCTGTAAGTGACGGATTCCAATTTTCCTCAGTTACAGCCCTGAGGAAACAGCAGGGCCGCTTTTTCAGCTAGATTCAACACCACATTCTCAGACTCAGAGTGGGAAATTCTTTAACTTGTTTTCTTAATTCAAGCTGGCTTTAGCAACGCTAGGGTTTCCTCCTCAGCCAATTCTGGCCTCTGTGCTCAGATGACTTCTTAGCAAAGCAAGTGGAGTTCGATGGTTGGGACAACTCACTGGATGGCACCGGAATATGTGAATAAGGATGTGTATGGGACCAAAGTAGATATTTGGTCCCTTGGCATTGTGGTGTTAGAAATGCTGCAAGGAGAGCCACCTTACTCCAAGGAAATGCCTCTCAAGGTAAGGTGCAATACTAGCAGATGCCATGGTCACTCTAATCTGTCCCATGCTCTGTCTTCTATAAGACAAGATCCCATTCACATCAGCTTGGACTTGTTCAGCCAAGGCCCATCTACCAAAAGCTGTCCTTGGAGCATATCAGCATCTGGTGTATCTTTGGCTGCATCAATGGGAGAACCTCAGAAGAGAAGTGATATGTTCCAGTTAAAAAATGCTCCATTTTGGCCTTCAGTGATGCTTCAGATTTCTCATGCACTTTTTGAACTCTTTCTGAGATGTGTTTCAGAATGACAAGAAATGTTCAGCAGCAAGTTTCTTGAACTGGGGAATTTGTATGAAAAACATTTCAACCTTGTCTTCAGGATCTTTTCAGTCTTGCACCTCTGCCAGTTACTTACCTGAGCCTATCAGGAAGTGCCTCTGGTTCTAGGAATGCCTTAATTATTCATTACCAAATAATTTCCTAAAAGTACGTTTTAGTACAGGGCTTAGATTCATTAATGCATTTACTTGAGTATCAAAATTAGCAGAGTTACCATAGGGATATTACTTAGAGTCATGTAGTGGTTTAGATTTGCTAATTTGAGTTTCCCAGCCAATGTACTAAACTAACATTTATTTTTCTGATTAGACCATTAAAAGTTTTTCTTTGACCATGGAAGTGAAGCTGATTGAGATTTTGGAGTCTAATTAAAGACAGAGTTGCAGGTGGCTGCTGTCTGCCTGAGCAGCCATTTTCATCATAAAATATTTGTGGATGTAACTAAATGTGTCTGTGTTGAACTGAGGTTCCAAAAGTTTCTGTTCCTTTAAGCAAGGAATAAGTTGATGGATTTCCTTTTTGGCATCTGGGTAACCTTTTTTTTATGGAAGCTGTGCTTTAGAGGCCAGTGAGCACTGCAGAGATTAATTGTATGTAACAATGCTTGGAAATAATGTGCTTAGACCAAATTCACTATTTAAAAGAGTCTGCAAAGCCTGTACAGTCAATCCTCAGAGCAGCCAAACGTGCTTTTGGCTGATGTAGTTCCTACTAACTTGGTCAGCTCATGAAATCAGGTGTCAAGGCAAGATCATGTGAATGTTGGATTAGCTGTGACAGCTATTTTATGGGGTCTTTTTGTTGGTGCAGAAAGATCATGCAAGAATACTGGGGAAGAAACTGGAGGCTGGAGAATTAAAAATGGGGTCTATGTGAGCAGTAAGGAGTATGAAAGAAACAGGTAGAGTCTTGTGCTTCCTTTTTTTCTAGGCCCTGGATCTCATAGCTAAGAGGAATACCAAAGCTGGAGAATGCTGAGCTACTGCAGGACTTTCTGAACTGCTGCTTGCAGACCGATGAGGACACTCAATGGTCTGCTGAGCAACTTCTGCAGGTACAATGTGAGGCAGCTGCAAGTAAAATAGCTGTCCAATGAATCAATTTTCTCATCAGCTAAACTTAAAGGCATCAGATGAACTTCCCCTCATATTAATGCCCAGTGTGGGTGGTTTTCAAGAGAAAACTGAGTAGAAGCATAGAATATTTTGGGTTGGAAGAGACCTTTAAAGGTCACATAGTCTAAATTTCCTACAGTGAGCAGGGATATCTGGAACCTAGATTAGGTTGCTCAGAGCCCTGTCTGAACTGACCTTGAATGTTTTGAGGGATGGGGCACCTAGGACTGTCACCCTGAAAACTCAGCTTCTGAGCTTGTTGACATAGTTTTCTAAAGACTTTCCCAGGACAGTAACTGTAAACATAGATATGTGTACATTCTGTTACACGTCTTGTGATGGGCATCTCTCATGGCCAGTGCAGTGAGAAAGTGTTATCCTGACCATCCAATCCCTGGCCGTGGTCAGAAGCCTATAAATCCTGGGAGGAAAAATAAACTTTCTCTTCCTTTCACCACACCTCGACCTGTGTCCGTGTGATCTATTCATCTTCAGCAGCAACATAGGACCTCTCTGGATAACCTGTTTCAGTGTTTCTCCACTCTCCTCATAAACAGTTTCTTCCTCAGACCTAATCTGAATGGACCCTGCTTTGATTTGAAAGCATTTCCCCTTTTTCATAGGCCCTGATAAAAAATGCATCCCCATCTTTCTTAGAACACCCCTGAAGCCAGTAAGGCCTCCCCAGGGTCTTCTCCAGGCTGTACAACCTCAAGTGTTTCAACCTTTCCTCATAGGAGAAGTGTTGCATCCTTTGATCATTTTTGTGGCCCTGTTCTGTGTTTTGGTAGTAGGTTCAGATTTCCCTGGTGGCAAGAGCTGCAGTAGGATGATCCCAGGTATGGAGGCATGAAATAGTGCTGGTGGTGAAGAATCCTGATGAAGCCATCCCAACCAAGCAGGCCAAGACTTGGCTGTGGGAAAGAAGGGATTGTTGGGGATCTCCCTTTGAGCATCGGGAGGGCCTCAGCTTGTCCCTCCTACCCCACTCAGACGTTTCTGATACCAAAACAGGGACAGCTGAGCAGGACTTGTCACAGCCCTTTTTTGCTGCCTAGCACAGTTGAGTAGATGAGAACTGCTGCAGGATTGCTGCCAGGTTTTGTGACAGATTGGGAGCTGCAGAGTGTGTGCCACTTGGCTGTCTCTGCTGTGAAGGTGCCAGCCAGCACAGGAGGTGCAGGAGATACACTGCTCTCCCTGCAAGCCAGAGCTCAGTCCATCAGTGTTCCACCACTTGTCTCCCTGCTCTTGGTGCTGAAAACCTCAGTGGTCTTCAGATGAAAACATGGGCCCAGATCCTCCTGGGATAAACATTTCTTAGCTGTCCTCGAGTTTCTTGAAGAACAGCTTATGCTACTCATCTTTTTTGACAACTAATACAGCCCATGCCTACAAGAAGGAGAGCCCTAAGTCAATTATTTTGTGTTTCCTGAAAGTGAAAATTCCTGGACTGCAAGCAGCATTCCCAGAGTCTTGGCAGGGCAAATATTGCATCAAGCTAGAGACACCTTGATAAATGGATTAATAGAATTACGAGCCAACTATTCCAGGTACTGGACGTGTGGTAGGGAGGTACATGAAGACAGAAGTTCAGATAGTTCCTTCAGACCTATTTCTGCATCTTTGTGGTATCTCAAAGAATAGTACTTGAGCCCATTAGAAAATGAGCTTGGAAAGTCATGGATCATTTGTTTTCCTGTGGTCAGCATCCATTTTTACTCTCAGCCAAGCCTCTCTCCAGCCTCACCCCTCTGATCATTGCAGCAAGACAGGAGAGGGAGGACAGGAGATGCAACAGTGACAGAACTGCTTTATCCAGTGCCAGCGATGGGTGGCTCTCAGAATAGAAATCAAACTAAACTCAATTCAGTTAGAAGATACCCTTCCTTCTCACCCTGTGAAAAAGCTGTACATTCCCTTTTCAATTGTCACTTGTTTCTTAAAGATGCAAAGCCCCATTTATGAAGGGGTTTTGGTATGGCTTGGGATTGGAGAAGGGTCTCTTTCATTCCTAAACTCCAGACTGCACTGCTTTTGGAATACAGCCCACTGAATGGTTTTTGCCCAGTCATGGTACTCCTAGATGAGGAAGAAAGCACATTTGCATTTCCAACCAGACACGAATGTAGAGTGGGACAGACAAAATATCATGTGGAGATACAGCCTTTCAGCTGTAGTTCTGGAGGGTTTCAGCTCTCAACCGTTGCGTTTGTACAACTAATATAAATCTCTTTGTCTCTCTGTAAGATGAGAGTCTTAGTCAAATGAAAAAGCAGCAGGATCAGTCACTGCTCTCAGAAAGCAATCTGATGCAAAGCTGTCAATGGAAACATGAGGTGAGAGTGGGCCCAGCTGTGGCCAGTGCTCAGCCCCAGCAAAACCCTGGCAGAGCACAGAGCAGCCTCAGCATTTGCAGCCTGGAAGAAGGAGTTCATAGCAGCAAGCAGCAGCAGACCAGCCCTGGATGCTTGCCTCTTCCTAGGACCAGACCATTCATCCATATCAGAGCCAAACTGGCAGTGGGCTGCTCCCAAGGGGAATCGTAGCTGTGCCATGAACTGCACAGTCTGGTGGGATTGGCCACCTGGAGTCTGTGCAGGCTTAGAGAAGCGCCAAAGAAAGGGGAGTGGTGGTGTCACTGCTGAGAAGGTTGCTGTCCTTGGAGACTTGCAGCTAAAAATTAATTAACTGTCCTGGATTTCCTTGAAAGCACAACAGGCCTGATTTTTCAGATGGCTGCTGGAGTGAGCAGCTCTGGTTTCCTGAACAGGGGATCCCCAGGGGAAACAGATAGAGCTGCCAGGAGCCTGCAGCTGGCACAACAGTGGCTGATGGGACTTGGGTGTTTCAGGAGCAATGATGGCAAAGTGCCCATCCCCATGGCCCCAAAAGAAGTTCCTGGGGAGCACCAGCATCCAGGGCAGGAAAACAGTCTGTGACACATCAGATCACACAGAAGTGCCTGCAGGAAGGGCACTGAAGGTCTGCCAGCTTGACCAGGGAGCAGCAGTACCTGATGGGGAGAAAGCCACAGAAGCCACGGCCTCTCTAAGCTCTGCATCTCCCATCACAACTAACACAGTTGTCCAGAGAGAGCTCCAGTGGGATCCTGCTGCCACCCAGGTGTCAGCTGCAGGCTGTGCCTTGCTCTCAGGGCAGTCCCAGATGGAAGCAGTGAGCAAAGCTGTGGGGGCTGAGCCCAGGAACTCAGTGCCAGAGCTGCAGGAGGTGAGTAGGTATACACTATATACAACTGTATATCTAGACATTTATCTATTTATCTGACCATTTAGTGCAGTATAAATTAGAGTGTTTTTCTTCCAAGCTTGGTGTTCACAGCCCATCCTTGCGACCAAATCCAAGTTCTTTCTCAACTGTTTGGAAAGCTGGCATGGGCTGATCCATGTTTGTGCTGGATGTTGTAATTGCCTGGGCTGTTGAGAGTTTTCAAGCTTATTTTCTTCTTTTAGTTCTCCCCCTTTCTGAACAGAAGGGAAAATAATTAAAGACTTTGATTTCCAGGTTGTGGTAGCCTAAAGAGGAGCTGTGATGCAGGAAGGAAAACAGAGAGACAGAGAGGTCAAAGAATGCCCCTCATTTCTCTGCAGGATGTTTGAGACATATGAAAGTTGTTGCTCTTTCTGCTAGAAACTTGCTGCTTTTGATTTGAAATAGATTTAATCTTCCAAAGCCACCTCAGTGATGCTGAGGGCAGTTGGAGTATCACCCCTCACAGCCCAAACATCTTACTGAAAACTTAACTTTCAGAAGGAAACCTTGGCAAATCCACAGCAGGCAACATTTTCACATAGGTCAAAATAACGCTTCTGGGTTTAGCAGCATTTATGGCACTAAGGGAATTAAGAAGGAAGGTTTGTTTTTTCTAACTTCCAGGGTGTTTGACACAGCAAGAGGAAGGAACATGTATATGAGAAGCCATCACCTGTGGGAGGAGGAAGGGTCTCTTCCCAAGATTAAAGCTTAATTTCGAGGGTTTACTGGGGGTAGAAAGAGTTTGATAGGGAAACTCATGAGACTGCTTTTCTACTTAGTTTATTAGCAAATAAATGTAAGAGTTTAGTAAATGTAAGAGTTTAGGTGTTGCTATGTTTGGTCTTTTTGCCTTTATAAAATCATGAAATTAAAAAAGGTCACACCCAAACCAGACAGAAACTCAGAAAAGTAGAACTGACCAATTGAATTAGAAAAAAAGGAATTAAAATGCCTGGGTTGTTTCCTCACTTCCAGGATGACTGCCACAATGTGAGGAAGGAACATTTCTGCAAGAAGCCATCACCTGCAGGGCAAAGAAGAGTCTTTTGCCAAGACTTAAAGAAGAATTTTGGGGCTAAAGGACTTGAAGATGGAATAGGGAAATTAATGACTTTACTATCTGCTTTTCTCATAAACTTACAGTCATGTGCCACATTCCAGATATCACTTGCCCTATTTTTTTAACATTTGTTTTTTTTTTCTATTTAATTTATGTAATTGTGTTTTGAATAATGAATGTAAGAGGGTTTGTGTTGGTTATGTTTTTATAACGTGCTTTTATAAGGTTTTATAATATGTTTTATTATATGGTTTACTATGGTTTTAATTTGTTTTATTAAGTTCCATAATGTGTTTTTTGTTGGTTAAACCCAGATTTGTTTGCTTCCTTCATTTTCCAAATGCAGCATTGATTTGGAAAAAATCCAGGCACTCACTTTCTTCCCTTTGGAAAGAACACAGCCCCTCACTTAGTGGGTGGGGAGCGTGAAGGTGGATCCTTCTTCCCCCAGCCTGTGGGGTTTTATAATTTATTCCTAAGAATTCCAAAACATAAGCTTGAAATTGCAAACACTTGAAGCCTGGGGACTGATGCAGGTTTAACTTGCTGTTGCATGGGAGCTCCTTTGCTTTCCAGTTCAGATGTAAACATTTCCTTCATTTTGCTATTTCAAATCCTTTTGCATGGGGCTCCCTGGGGGTGGATGCCAGTGTGTTGCCTAGTTTATTTTAACACCCTGCTCTGCTCCCTATTTTCCCTGTGACGCTGCTTCTGTGGCTCCCCTCACTCCTGGGAACCTGACTAGCACAGTCACGTGGCACTCAGGTTTCAGCCCTCCAGAGACAAGCAGCAGGTTCTAATCCAGTGAGACAGAATGAGTCAGCCCCAGATGGCACTGCATCATCCGTGGTCTCCTGCCTGTACTTGGAAATGAGATAACTTTGCTAATTAATGGTTTTAATAAACTTTTTGATTAATTTTTTTTTAATAACCCTAAGTCGTGTATCAGTCTTTAGCAGTGTAATTTTCCATTTTAGCCAGCATGTAGCTAAGTTTTTTTTACAGACTGTTATTGTTAGTGTGTGATTATTAGATCCCCAAAAACTTCAAGTTATGATGAGCTAACGCTATTAAGCTTCAGTGAACAAAGCTCTGGGGAGTTAAAGGCTGGACACCTGGAATCCAGAATTTAAAGGCCTCCAAGGACATATTGAAGTAACCAGAAGATAAAGAAGAGACTAACAAAGATAATTCAATAAGTTCTGGAGACTTTCTCTCTGGGAAAAAGATAATAAAAACCTTAAAAGATGTGGACTAATTAGCATGAGAAGTGAGAAATCAATAACCAATAGAAGATAGAATAGTAATTGATGCAAAAAAATATGTAATTTAGAACCAATGAACATTAACTTCTTTGCTAAAAATGTATAACTAACTGAAAAGTTTTGAAAGTCATGTGCATTTAGGTGGAGCACCCTGGCCTGGAATAAACTAATGCCTGCTCCCTAATACTACAAAAACAGTGTTAGAAAGTTTCATTCATCCTGATGTTTTTGGCAACATACTGGCAAATCTCAGGGAATCAGCTGGCAGCAAAACTCAAGAAACTGTCAGTGAGTAAGAGCAGGAGTGACTGTGGGAATAGGGCAACAGGCATTCAGCAGGAACGATGGCAAAGTGAGCAACATCCACATGTACACACAAACCAGACTGTCAGACTTCCTCCTCCTGGGGGTTCCTCCCATGGTGTGTAAGCTCCCAGCCACATCTTTGTTACCCAAGAAGGCTTAAAAATGGGATTCAGAGTGCTTACAGCCATCTGCCAGGAAAAACAGTAATATCATCCCTATTCCATGCAAAGACAAAATGCAGGGTCCAGGCTGGCAGAGCTGACACAAAAGGCTGGCAACAAGCCAAGGTTCAAAGCCTGGCTGGGGACATGTTGGTGCTCAGCCCTAACACCAGTGACCTTTGATGTTTTAGTTTGGTTTGGTTTTGGCTTTTGGTGTCTGTCTTCCCACAGGAAAGAGAAACAGGGGTTTCAGGTTTCTCAGCCGTTCAAGCCTGAAGTGTGAAATAGTAACAACCACTTAGATACAACATTTCCAACACTTGCGCCTGCAGGTGATTCTGGGCTCAGAAGGGCGGGCTCAGCTCGGTAATTTATGAGAGCCCCTGCTATAAAGGCAGCCACTGCAATGAAGAATCCTTGAGTAGTTCACCAGCCTCCATCTGTCTCTGCCTCTGCTGAGAAACGTAGACAAACAGTCCAAGTATTAAGTCTTTCTAAGGAATAATTTTCTTCATGATTGGTCATTTAGGTGGCACACCTACATAAGCACTGATACTCAGCCTAAGAAAGCAAAGGGATAGAGAACTATTCTTTCTAGATCCAGAAAGCACAGGATTAAATGTCATTTAAAGGAAAGGTAAATACTGGAACTGTCATGGACATGGGGTTGTTTTTTTTAATTATTCTTTTATGGGGTGTGTTTTTTTGTTTTGTTTTTAATTACCTGTGACTTCTTAGTGTAAAATTTAAAAGAATAGACAAAAATCTGGGCCTTCACTATTTGTCTAGTTTTGAAGCCATGCTATCATTTGTGAATGGCTCTACACAAGTTTTTTCCAAGCTGGAGGGTTCTTCAGCCCCAAGATCGCCACTTGACTCCCCAGGAGTCCACCAAGAGCAGTGGAGAGAGAGCAGCTGGTCCAACTCTGTGAGATCTGAGAGGTTGCATATTGTTATATTGCAAATGATCTGTATGTGTCAGAGTGAAAGAACAATTAAAACAAATTGCTTGATTAGATTAGGAACTTTCAAATTCTTTGGATCTGCAGCCACGGCTTTTCTCGCTTACTAATGATTACTAATTATCAATGTAGCTGGACATCAGCAAATGCCCCAAAGCACTGCACAGAACCAGTGGAGGACACACTTGGCATTCTATTGCTCTATAACTCACATTTGAAGTATACTTATCTGGCAAGTATCCAAAAAAGTGCAAAACCACTTTCCTTATAGATCTGACACGTTATTTTTCCTCAGGAAACCAAACATCAAACAGCAACAAGAGGCAGAAAGAGTACTTAAAATTCTGCAACGCCTTCTAACATCATATCTAAAACTCCAGTTTCAGGGGAAATAATGCCCAGAATTCTAGGGGTATCCCAACAATGCACTTATTGCTCTTCATCACATGAATGTGTGAACCCATGTCACAAGTTTTGTAGATAAACACACACCAAAAAAATTTGAAGGGTACAAGAGATTGGTTTAGAGCACTTATTTTCCTAACAAAACCTAAATTGTGGACGGCAGAAAAAGCAAAACACATTAAGGAAGCTTCTTTGCGGAGGTGACTGCCGCTGGCACCAGCTCCGGCTCCAGCCGGGCAGCAGCACCGAGGGCGGCCGGAGGAGCCGGCGCTCCTCCCCGCCGCGGCCGGGCTCCCTCCCCGGGGCCGCCTCTCCCTCCGCCCCGGCCGCGGGACCGCCTCTGCCCTGCCTTCACCCCGGCCCACCCGCTTTTCCCTCCCCTCCTCCCGGCCCGGGGCCGCCTCTCCGGCCCTGCGCCCCGCCGGCGGCAGCGACGTGGTGCGGTGCTGTGCGGTGCTGTGCGGTGCTGTGCGGTGGCGGAGGCTCAGCCATGTGGGTGGCGGCGCTGCTGGCGCTGCTGGCGGCGGCGGGGGCGCAGTACGAGCGCTACAGCTTCCGCAGCTTCCCGCGGGACGAGCTGATGCCGCTGGAGTCGGCCTATCGCTACGGGCTGGACCAGTACAGCACCGAGAACTGGCCCGAGAGCGTCAGCTACCTGGAGGTCAGCATGCGGCTGTACCGCCTGCTGCGCGACAGCGAGGCCTTCTGCCACCGCAACTGCAGCACGGCCGGGCAGCCGCCCCCCGCGGCCCCCGCTGCCCCCGGCGCGGCGCTGGAGGAGCTGCGCCTCCTGTCCGGGGTGCTGCGGCGGGCGCAGTGCCTGCGGCGCTGCAAGCAGGGGCTGCCCGCCTTCCGACAGGCGCAGCCCGGCCGCGACCTGCTCCAGGAGTTCCAGCGCCGCGAGCCCTACAAGTACTTGCAGTTCGCCTACTTCAAGGTGAGAGCCCCCCTCATCCCGCCCCGCTCCTTGATCCCTCCTCCTTTCTCCTCCCGCCTCTCTGCCCTGCCTCCGCTCCCCCCGCCTCTGTCGCGGGCTCTCCTCTTCAAAGTCTCGCCTGGTGCGGTGCCACCTTCCAGCCGCGCCGAGCGCGTCTGTCGGTGCCGTGGTGGAGGGGGACAGCATGGTGTGTCCCAGGACAGTCTGGACAGACCCCAAGTGCCTGGTGCACCCAGTGCTAGAAAAGCCTCCTGTCATGCCGACCTCTCGCCTGGCCCTCGGAGCAGGTTACTCTGGGCCACGACCTCATTCCTCATCACCTTCTCCACACCACTTGTCACCTGCCTCATCTCTATTTCTTCCCTGCCCCTGGTCAGTCCTTGTTCCCCTAGGCTGCCAACCCTATACTTTGTAATCCTCTCCTTGACAAGCTTTTCTGTTGTTTCATGCCACTCCTGTAACCCACAGTGGGATTAGTGTGTGCGTTGTCTTTCCCCTGCTTACCCATATACCATTCAGCTCGCCCTTCACCCGTTTTTTACAGCTCATCCAGCATGTCCCTGAGAATCAGCCCTTCCAGCTCTTCCTTGACATCCAGTCACTGGACACTGCCTTTGTGTTCGGTAGCTGTGTCATTCCTGCCCCTCTCATCTTTCCATCTGCCTTACTTTCTAACCTTCTCTGGAACCTTTTTCAGACTCTTCGTGTCACAGCTCTGCTGTTGCAAACGATCTTCACTGCTTCTCCTTCAGCGTGTCCACCTTCTTCACTTGCTCGTTTCTGGTCCAGTTCTTTCAAGTGCAGCAGCCCCCAGCCTGTGACTTGCAGATAGTCTTGTGCCTGGAAAACTCCAGTTTCATTACAGCTGTGAAAAGGAATGAAGCAAAAATTGGCTGCTGAAGTGGGACACTATAATGCTAGCCCTGGAATGGTATTTACCTTTTGCTCTTTGGTCAGCCAAGACTGGGAACACTCTTAACAGGTTTCATCCTGTTTTTCTAGCTTCTTGTCATTCTTCAGTCCAGGATCTATTTGATTATTTTCTCCTTTCTCATGTTCACCTTCTCATCTCTATATCAAGGTCCATCTCTCCTGCCATCCCCTCAGATACTGCAATTATTTGCATTTGAAGTAATCAGGGCTTCTCTGTGGGGAGGAAACAAGCTGAGCTCTTTCGTTAGATTGTTTTCTCTTTCAGGGATTCACTGCTAACCTACCCCAGTATTCATTACATAGGGTTGTATGCTTGTGCAGTGTTTTGAGATTGCCTCTTGAAAACACATGTCTTCTAAAACTGTTGCTGTGTCCTGTTTTCAGGAGTGCTGTTTTCTCAGCAGTTTTTCCAAACAGATGCAGGGAAGTGTGCTCTCATAAAACCAGAACAGTATCCACAAGCACAGTGTCACACTGGCGTCCAATGCCTTCCCTAAGACCATGCAAAAGAACTTGATACATTAAAGCCTCTGCCTTTTCAGTGAGATGGCAGGAATTCCTCGAATTCTCAAAGCCATATATGGATACCAAAATGACATCACCACAAATGTTGCCTCTTCTTATCTTAACTATTAATTCCCCCCCTTGTGGCACATACAAAGTTTGCAATGTATGGATAACACCAAATATCTTTTCTTCTTATCATTTCAAATACAGTCAAGTAACTGCCAGGTAGGAGTGTGAGAGGGAAATTGGAGGAATCCCTCCCCCTCCCTTTAGACTCTTTTTTTCAATCACATTTGCATTAAGTTTGAGCAGCCTAGTTTGGCGGGTTTGCCTTTAGTGTCTGTTGTTTATATTGTGTTTCATAGTGGATTTGTAGTGCAGCTCCGAGCCCTTATCTCTGTCTTGGGGAGTTCTGAATGGGCCTTCTAGAGCTACAAACTGCTGCGTCCATAGGACTTTTTCCTGGCTGGTGGTTTCTGCAGAAGGAAACTTCCTCCCTTCCCCCACCCCTCTACCCCCACAATGGCATTTATAGTAGAGGAAGAAGTGGGAGGAAAATGCTTTATGTAATTTTTTAGAGTGACCGCGTGTGTATTCAGGTGGGCTCCACAGAGAAATTTGCCACGTTGTAAGATTCTGGGAGTAGCTTTTCCTGCGCTGCTGCTTGCTCCTCTGGAGGGAGCTTTCTCAGAGCCACTGAGCTCACTTAGGAGTGTGTTTCTACAAAATCTTTCATTTTTTTCTAAGAGATGAAAATGGAAACCAAGGGTGAATCATGAGCCTAAGCAAAAAGGAGACTTGTCAGCCTCCCAAGGAAGCAGGGTTGCAGCTACGGCACGAAAGAAACCAGGCATTTGACGAAAGTGCAGCTGAGATTTCCCTTTGCATTTAGCACGGTCTGGGCTGACTGGAAACACGTAGTTTTGGGACAGCCAGGAAGGGCAGCTGGCAGAGTTCCAGTGCTGGGCCACTGCTAGCGGCACAGCAGCAGTGCGTGGGTTGAAGTCTTGCTCGTGTGCAGCCGTCTCTCAGGTTCCTTTCTGAAATGAAAGGGCAGCTTCTGTGGATGCAAGCAGAAGGCTGTGTGTGCACATGGGCCTGGGATTCTTGCTTGTTTCCAGCATGTGCTGCCAAAAGCTATTTCACATGTGAGCTATTTCACTCTGTATCGCCTGTACATCAATATGCTGAGTGGGCTGATGCGGATCTTGGCCTAGAAAAAGGGTTTTAACATTTCACAAATACCCCAGACCTTTGCTTACTCTCTCACTCTTCCTATATATGTGCATATATATTATGTAATTTATGAAAATATGCATGTGTATGTATAAGATTTTTAAAAATCTTAAGTGGAATGCACACAGAAGTGCATAGGTGTTTGGTACATGCAGTTGTAAATGAGAAATGAACACTTCACAAAATATATCTAACAGGGATTAAAGTTTCTTTAAAAATGGGTGCAGAAAATTGCTTTAGGACACAATTTTTGACCAAGCCTCCGCAGTATGCTCTAACTTTGTAATACCACCAGGATAATATATCATAGTAATAATGTCCTCTGTGCTGCTAGGCAAAGAAGTGACATAAACACAAACAATGATGACTCCTGACCAGTATCCGTAGGTTAGCATCTGTACTTGCTCTGAGATTAATCCCTCCCAGGAGCCCTGGTATAGACTTTTGCTTTGTCAGCTCTATGTACAGGGGAGGGCAAGGGGAAAAACTTAATCTTTTTGATTTACAGCAATCATCTATACTGTCTGCAAAAATATTAGATTTCTAAAGTTAAAAAAAAAATTGCTCATAGTGATGCAGCTGGGAGTAAAACTGGGAAGAATTACATCAGTTTTACTGTACCATGGTATCTGCTGAGACTGTGCTCTCAGTAGATTTGTGAATATAGAGAATGCAGGAAAATTCATTGACAGAACTAGGAACTTTTGAACTGTTTGGGTTTTCTTTTCTCCTGCTAATATTTTTTTAACACATTCTTTTCCTTATCCCTATTTAGGCTAATAATCTTCCAAAAGCCATTGCAGCAGCTCATACGTTTCTTCTGAAGCATCCAGATGATGAAATGATGCAAAGAAATATGGCCTACTATAAGAGCATACCTGATGCTGAGGAGCATATTAAAGACTTGGAGACAAAGCCTTATGAGGTATGCTTTTTATTTAGGAGAGTCGGCTCTTTTGGTACTGTTCTATTACTCCTCTTATTTGGTGAGATTCAGGGATCTCATTTGCTTATGTGTTCTCAGTTCTTAATCTCCCTCTTTTTGTCACCTCAGTCATCTTTGTTCTGCCTTCTTGCTGTATTCAGTAATTCTCACCTCTCCTGCACTTCATTGTTCCACCAATGAGTCACAGCAAATCAGACAGCGGTGTACCTGAAAGCTGTTGTGTGTAGATCGCTGCTGGAGCTAAGCAGGTGCCTAGTTAGCCAAATTTATGAGCGCTGTAGTGGCACAGCTGAAAATAGCTCAGACATTTGGCTTCAAGATTCCATTGAATATCTCTGTCACAGCCTGTGCTTTAGACTCACACTGTTACTTCTCTCCAGCAGGCTTTTCTTCTGATTGGAAATTGAATTACATACTCTGGTCTATAGGAGATACCGTTAAAATCCTTTAGTCTCCTGTATTTATATCCATCTGGAGAGCAGCTCATACAGTCATCCAGAAATGTGGAGACATCATTTACTGTATTTGAGTTTACACAACACTTCTCACAGCTACTGCTGATTCATTCCTGCCTATTTTTCAGAATCTCTTTGTCAGGGCTGTGAGAGCGTACAATGGCGACAATTGGCGGACATCCATCTCGGACATGGAACTGGCTCTTCCAGATTTCTTCAAAGCTTATGATGACTGCATAGCAGCCTGTGAAGGCTCCCGAGAGATCACAGATTTTAAAGACTTCTATCTTTCCATTGCAGGTGAGTGGTTAGGACACAGTAAGGAAAGATGTCCCCAAAGTGCATCTCAGTTTATTCATAGGATTGGTTACCCAAGTCCTGTTCCTCAGTTTAGGCCAGTAGGAGTTTATTAGATTCACTGAAAACTGCTTGAATTCTGGTTTACTTTTTTCCTCTCTTCAGTAACATAAAAGAGATCTATCAGGAAATCAGAGCAAAGATATTACATTAGCATGGCAGTTCTGTGTCAGAGCAACATAGATGTGTAAATAACAACTGCTCCATCTGGGTAGCAGTGGTCATCCACCCAGGTCTCTTGATCATCATCTCAGTATCAGTTTGGCCACCTTTGGGGCTCAATGGTTAGCCTGCCTTTGAAATCAGCTTTGTGGTTTGTGTAGGTCTGGTGAGCTGTGTTTCCTTTCTCATAAGTATGGCAAAGTTCTGTTGGCTATTTTTAATCTTTCCTACATTAGAGTTTTACTAGTAGGTAACATCTGTATTTTGTGTGTATAGCCAAAAAAGAAAAAAAAAAATCCATTGCTTTGCAAAGGAAAAGGGACATCAACTTTTTAAATTGTTGTCAAAATGGCACATACACGTTTCTTTCTCATGCTCTTTGGCAGCGAAAGGAACAAGTAATTTCTCTGTCAGTGCTCTGACAGCTCAGTGGTGTTGAAGATATTTTTGTGGGGAACACCTGCATGTTCTCTCAATAAGCTTAGAAATTCTCATGCATTTTTTATGTTTTATATTGCCCTAAGGAAAAACATACCGACTTTTTGTCCTAAAGCCATAATATGTCTTGGTGAGGGGAAACTTTTGGGAAGCATGTTTATATAAGAGCAGCTTCAGTTTCTCATGCTCATGGTGTGCAGCTGGTATCCACCAGCACAGCTGACATGGAATAGCTATTGCAGGCTATTCCTCAAGCCTTGACTTGCTCTTGGGCAAAACAGGCAGGTGTCTAGGATAGCAAATATGGAGTGGAGCGCAAATCACAAGTGGTAAAGCAAGAAACACAGACTTTCTTTCCCAGTGGGTCTGAGCTCTGACATCAGGACAATTCCCAAGGCACTGTAAAGAGTAGTTGTCTGTGCTCAGCTGTGATTGACACTTACTGTCACCCTTCTTCTTCCTCTTTGGAAGGAAAGGACAACTCCCAGCAGTAGTGATGGCAAGGAAAGGTAGGAATTACTTCATGATGTCACCATGGCCATGTTCATGCATTTCAAGTATTTTGCTCTTGAGATAAGAATGTTCACATTTATTTGCACTGCCTGGGCTGAATCGTGCTTGTGTTCCAGGGAGAGATATTCTGCCTCCAAGGGTCTGCATGAAGCAGATGTAGCAGTAAGTGTTAACCAGAAGTATTTGGGTCTTGCACTAGGTATGTATTTATTCCTGAGCAGTGAGTTATGTTAGGAAGCCAGCTGTCCTCATTGTGTGGGATCGTTTCACTGAGGGACTCGCATCTCTGGCTTTAACTGCTGGCTGGAATTGAACACCACTGTGTCTGGAAATTCCACTGCTCTTATAAAAGATGGGTCTGGTAATTTCATTAGGCCAGTTATTTTTAGATAGTTTCAGCAGTTATTTTTAGTTAACCTTAGTGTTCTTCATGTTAGCAGTTTTCAGGGATGAAAAGTGTTCTTTTGCCTTGGTCAGAAATTTGCTGCACAGGCTTAGCTAACTTGCTTTCACCTGCCAAATGTGGCTAACAGGGAAACTAAGACTTTAAAATATTTCTTTTCTGTGCTGTTGATGAATATGATATATCCAGAAAATGCTTGAAACTTTTTGCTGGAAGGTTTTCTTCTTTATTCTTTTATTCTTTATTCTTGAAGATAAAATCACTTACAGTCCTATATTGCATTATATATAGAAATTTTTAGACTGGGTAAGCTTGTGAACTTACCTGTTTCTGTCTGAAAGTTTTTCTGTGGTAAGCAGCATATTCTCCTCTTTCTTCTCTCTTAAAACATCCAGACTCTGAACCCATAACACAGCCATCTCTGGAGGTTTATTTTGCAATCACCTGCTGTGTCTGTTTGTGACACAGTTTTACTCAGCAGCATGGGGACCTTATTTGTGCAATAATGTAGTGAAATTACAGAGGCTTGCAAAATTTAGGAAAGGAAAGAAAGCACTGTTAAGTTTACAGCTAGGAAATAGTGCAGTACTGTGTAGTACTCTGTAAAACCCACAACCACATGCTGCCTGCAGGTGTCAGTGAAACCTAAGTACTCGGTTCTCTGGAATTCAAGCTTTGATGCCTTGAAAGTCAGCCGTACAGATTTTTACAGGAGGGCCTAGTACCAGCACTTGATTCATACTTCAGATGGAGTTGTAGATTCTCAGTACTTCCAAGCAGCAGAATCCAGATGCACAGGACCCAGGAGAGCATTGTAAGGCCGAAGTTTAGTGGGTGACTAATGGGAGAGATTATTACAATTCACTCTGTGCTATCCATATCCTCTGTTGCTGTTTTCTTCCTTCCAGATCATTATATTGAAGTCCTTGCATGCAAAGTGCAGTGTGAGAGCAATCTGACACCCATTATAGGAGGCTTTGTCGTTGAAAAATTTGTGGCCACCATGTACCATTACTTGCAGTTTGCATATTATAAATGTAAGTAGTGATTTATTTTGCTTAAATAATGCTGATGTTGGATGATGTGGGACAGATTCCATTCATCATCTTTTCCCTCTAATTTTATGCTTTAGAATGTAGGTAGTAGCCTCCAGAATCTACATTTTAAACTGTTCTGGGACAGAAAATCTAAGTTTCCTGATGTCTTTTGCTCCCTGTTGTCACTGTAGTTAACATACATGGGACAGAATTTCTTCCACAGACAAACCTACGGAGTATTTCATAGTATTTGCTTTTTCCTAGTGGATTCTTATCATCCTCTTAGAATGGGGCTAAATGGGTTTTGAAGAAAGAGGGGACCACTTAACAAAAATTGTAGTGTTTGGTGCTCAGTGATGACATATTTGATAGGTAAATTAACCAGTGAAAGTTGTGGTTTCTTGAGGAGCTGCTTGCACTGTAAAGAACACATTACAGTTGTAAAGAACCCTTACAGCTGTTCCTGCAGGCTCCAATATCAAAGGGAAGACACATCAGCCACTAATAACTCTTTCTTGTGTTGTTTGACTGCACACTTTACCTTGACCCTCTTTATCAATCCTAATAGAGAAGTAAGGAGGGGTTTAATATATTTTTGTTTGTTTTTGAAATAAATATCCCAGTGTGTATCACCAAGCTGTGTGGTGATACTGGGATACCTGGGGGTAGCATTTGGTTAGGATTTTCGTAGAAAACCATCAAAGGTTGATGATGAATTGATTTTTGAGTCATGGCTGTATGTGTTTCAGAACACAAAAATAGCATATCATTTCTGGGGAGCATTTTTTTTTTCTCTATGCAGCTGGTGAGGAGGTAGAGTATGGGCTGTGTTTCCATTTGAGTTTTCCAGAGCTTATGTAATAGTAGGAGTTTGTTCATTTACCTTACCTGGGTTTTTTTGGTGTGTGTTTATTAATTAGTGAATGACATGAAGAATGCAGCTTCTTGTGCTGCTAGCTACCTTCTGTTTGACGCAAAAGATGAAGTAATGAAACAGAACATGGTCTATTACCAGTACCACAAAGACAAATGGGGACTTAAAGAGGAGGATTTTCAGCCCAGATCGGTAGGTCAATTACCTAAAATGCCTTCTAGACATGTTTCAAATATTTCTCTGAAAATATAGTGGGAAAATGTGGGAGATCTGCTGGTTCTGGAGTTCAACACATCCTGTTTTATTAAAATAATATAGAAAGTTGTACACAGAGGTGTAGTGTGTCATGTAAACAGTGAATGTCATTATAACTCTTCCCTTGCTATTGAAATGTACTACGATAGCATATAAGATATGATGAGAAGTAAACTCCTGGTACTTCTCTAGCACTTAGGCATATTTATATCTTTATGTACCTCTATAAATGAAGCAGCTGGCCCCTGAAATCTCTAGTGATGAAATCTCTGAGTGACATTCAGGCTTTTGTGAATCATTATTTGCCAACACATAGTTGCCCACTCGCTTGTTATTTCAGGTTCTGTGGGCATTGGAATGTGTCTGAATATGGTAACTCCAGCTAAACTGGCTTTCCACTTACTCCATTTAGAATACATTTGGGTGGATGAGGATGGAAGAAGGCTCAGGACTGTATTGCATCTAATTATCTAGATGAAAATGCTTGCTGCAAAGAAGACGCCAGTCCATCCAGCAACAATTGTCATCTGGCTTTGGAAAACTATTTTAAAAATGAGTTTCCATCCTGTTCTTAAATTTTCATGTCCAACGAAATTTTACAGCCTGGACTGTGGCATCAAATTGTATTTTCCAATGTTTCTTGTTACCAGGATTTAAGTCATGCAGCTAAATTGTGACACTCAGTGACTGCTTAGGCATCAGTCATATGGGCTGTACAACTAGTTAGTCATTAGCAGTATATGTCCCACAAATTAAATTTAGTGCCTTCTAGTCGTGCCTCTTAGAGCACACATTTAATTGGCACAGTGGGAACCCAGGCCTGCCCTGGCTCTGCAGGGCCAACTGAGACAAAAAGCAGCAAAAATGCATTTGGTTCTTTCAGGCAGCAGAAGCAAGTCTGAGCTCACAGGGGAAGGGGACTGCTTCTTTGTCACTGCTTTTGGGAACAGAACAGTGCTTTATAACCATGTTGGAGACAATGTTTGGTGGTGGAGGGAGTGAGGGGTAGCAAGAGCATGAAACTGCAAACCGCAGACAAATTTGGCATACATGTGCAGAGAGCGCAGAACAAGGGCCCTACACATGCACTCTGAATGTTTCATTGATAACTCCTGGAGCTGGCCACTACAGATAATTTTGTTTTAAAACACAAAATATTAAATGCACACAGCTGTATTGTACTTTGATCTACGTAGCTATAAACAGAAGTTGCTTGCTGTCCTAATCACTTGCCTGGAAAACCATAATGCCTCTGGTCTATTTCCAAAACGTGGTAATGGGGTGACAGCAACATTTGGCTCTGGCACTAACCTTTAGATGTTCTTGTGAAGGAGGGAGTCTCCCGTTTTCTTCCCCAAAATGAGTTAAAGGGAGTAATCAAAGTGGATGACAACTGGTGCTCACAAATACCAGAGTGTGTGAGTGAGCCACCCTGTGCTGTCCAGGCTGGGAAGTGAGGAGGGACAGGTGAGTGACCTGGCAGAGTTTCCCTAGCCCAGGCTCAGCCTGGGCTGGTGAGTCATTATCATGCAAATCGGCTCAGGGTGTCTGTTTCCCAGAACTGCCTGCTGCCATAGGCCAGCACAGGGAGACAGAGGCTTTCTCCTGTCCAAAGCCCACTGGAATGCAGGCACAGGCTGCTGCTCAGCCCTGGCAGTCTCATTCCTTACTCTCAGACTCGCCAGTGCTTTGAAACATGAGAAAGAGGAGAGTGTTTTGTTGTTGCAGTGAGGGAGCCTGTGCTTGGGAAGATCCACAGGAGAGTTTGGAATATGCTGTTTGCTGTTTCATTTCTCAAACACTGTGAACCCTGCCTGGGGTCTACCTTTACAAGGTCTGGGTCTGACTTCACTGGGATAGTTTCAGGACACATGTGATGACTCTCCCCTGTCTTGCTACCCTAAAGTAACAGAAATTTTGGGTTTTTTTGCTAGGAGGCAGTTCGATACCACAACATTACCACACTCCAGCTGGAAATGTATGAATTTGCAAAGGAACATCTGATGGATGATGATGAGGTGAGTTGTCTAGAAATGAAATCATGGTCAAAAAAGCAGCAATCACATTTAAAGTGAAGATGATACATAGCTGTAATTCCAGGATTTCACTAATATGGAAAAATCTTCTTGTAGCCACAACCAATTTATAATAAATTTTTGTTTGGTAAGTGGACTAAAAGAACAAACCCAATGAACATCATGTACCATTTAAAAGAAACATGACAGAATTACCACAAAGGTGAATATATAATGGACTGAGCCCACAGGAAAAAAAGGAAACCCAGTTTTTGAGTTGTAGCACCAGGGGGCAGAGAAATCGTGTATATATATTTAAACCAAATGTTTTTCTGGATTTGGTGTTTTGGGGGGACTGGAGGGGGTGTGGATTTTTTTTTTTTTCTGAAATGTTGTCTAAATTAGATTTAAAGGTCCTTATGATTTTGTCCAGAAGTAACCACCTAAATTGTAATTTTTGTCCAAAGGAAGTCTTGTTATCTGTTATTTTTTTTCTCCTCAGTGGCATTTTGGTCACCCAGTCATGCTTTTTAAATGGTTAGAATTCATGGCCAAATAACATAAAATGACTACTATTTACACTGGAAAATAAGTAAAAGGGATTTTTTATTTTGGTGCAAGAAAAGTAGTTTAATTGCTGAAAGGGCATTTCCTTCCACAACTGAAGTTAAGGTATAATTCATGGGAGGTTTTGGATTGCCTTTTGCTTTGTTTTTGGGTCCTTTCATTCAGAGGTTTAAAAAAATTCCACAAATGATGAAATGTTGCTGGCATTGACAAAGAAAGAGCTGTGCTTAGTTAGGACACGAGGCAAGGGTATCTGTAATGAGCACTGCCAAGGTCTTTTCTACTTAGAAAAGACAAAGATGGTTTATGTTAAAAAACTAAAACACCTTTGCAATTTTTATTATCCAGCACAACATAGGGTGAGAGAATATTTTACAGCAGAGAAGTAATGTCTGTGCTGCCTTCGGTATTCTTGCGATCTGAACACACCTCTATGTAAAATTCCATTGCAAGGTTACCAGAATTCAGGAAGACTTTCCTGAAGATTTTGGTAAAACCCCCTGAAAGACAGTTTCATAAGCTTGCTTTAAGGTTAAGCTTAGATGAGGACTAGTCTGTATGTATTTTAATCAAGGTGTGAAACACTTGAGCACTTTTTATATTGCCATGTTGGTTTGTGCTTTGTTCATGATGTTTTCTTATGTTAGGCATTGACTTAATTTGTACTTTTTTTCCTTCTTTTCTATCTGCTGTTTCAAAGCCCAAGGATAAGTAATTAAGGGGAGGGTGAAGAAGTCCATTTTGAGGGTTTTCCCCTTATGTTGTTAGAAGAAGGGGCTCAAGAACAATCTTAAGCCTCCAGCAGCGTGTGTAGAACAAACAAGCATTTATTTGCTGGCATTCATTCCTGTAGCCCCTTTCACCAGGGCAATTACAAATGACCTTGCAATCTGCAGGAGGGTGGCACAGTGTAAACCTCAGTTCGACTTTTGGGCTGACAAGGAAGTCACATTACACTGGATTATATGTTTGGATCAAACAACCAAAATTACTGGGCCTGCTTATGCCACAGATATCTCTACCTCCCATTCTCTTTGTATTAGGAAAGTTACCATTCTTCTTCTCAGGGGAAAAGCTGAAGGGCCTCTGTGCCCTCCCTTGCTAGGGCCCAAAAACCTGTGAGGGATGGAGGCTGTCCATGCCACTGGCTTGGCTCTGGCTTTTGTAGTGAACTCATAAATCCCTGGCTACCAGAACTTGTCTTTGGCTGCCGGAGACTGCCAGGGAGTGCAGACAGAGCAGGAATAGCACAAAGGTAAAACCACTGCCTTGCAGTTTCTGCTCTATGGGCAGGACCTGGTAGTATAAGTGGAATTTTTTATTTTGTTTAATATTTCTCCTGGCACAGATAGAAAAGTTTGTTCCATAGGAATGTTGAAAACTGATGAAAACCCCAGATAAGGCATTGCAGTAAAAACTTTATTGAAAATTGTTAAGGATGGAGGCAAGCTCTCTTCTAAGTGCATTCTGTTTATTTAAACCATGTGCTTGTTGGGCTGTAGGCCATACCTTCTGTGAGTTTCTGTGGTCCATATTTGCTGTTTGTGAAGTGGCCAGTAAGAGAGCCCACAGGATAATCTGCAGAAACAAAATAATTCTTTTTCCCTTGACGGAAGCGAAAAGATTGATGTGGCAAGAGGATTCCTTCCTATGTGAGTGTCATTATTTTCATGTGGAGAATCTCATTTTATTCAGACATCTCAGTGCTCCTGTATCCCAGATCATCCATGTGTCTTTCTAAATCCCATTAGCAAAGCGAGCGAAAACATTTGGCTTCCTCAGGAATACATAGCAGTAATTGCAGAGGCTGGAACAGGCAGTAATGGTTTTTGCATATGTTACTACAAGAAATACTGTCCTGCTTGTGTTACTCCATTAATGTTTTTCCACAAGGAAATGAAAAACTCTTAATTCAAACATTTAACACAGTAGAGGTGACAGCATATTAGCGCCAGCTAATTTTAAGAAAAAGTAATTATTCTTAAATATCCTTGCAGTTTTCCACAGGGAAGTTAAAAGAACATTACAGTGTTGTCATCTTAGTTGGCCATGGATAGACAAGCTTCTTGATTTCTGTTCAGATGTGTAATGCATCAAGGCTATCATGGATACAGCTCCTGGTACTGCACAGATTTAAGTGGCACACTGAAATGCAGTTAAGAGCCAGACAGTTGGTGTAGATGTAACTCCAGCACCACACTAATTGTATGAGACGTGTTTTTGGCCCATAAATTCAGCGTTCTTATGGAATTTTTTTTGGGGGGGGGAAGATAGCTACTTAGCTGTTCTAAATTACATAAGAACCACAAGTATTTGGCAGGGATGAGCCTACAATGTGATTTTTCTTTCAGTACTTAATCAGTAGGTGAAAAGCTGTTGGCAGCTTTGACCCACTTTTTTTTGACATCTTTCTTTTTATTTGTATATAGTGTGTGTCCCATTTGTGTAGTGGTTGAAATTAAGATGCTCTGTGTTTCATCACATCCATGTAATGCAAAGAGGAATAAGTACTGAACTAATATGACTGGTGGAAAGAGGACATAAGGAATAGCATCAAAACACAAGGGCCCCAGTGGAGTACTGATAGCAAATAGTAATCTGAATTCAGCCTATTTTTCTGTTTGGGAATTGCTAACACCATACTTTGAGCTTTATTAACTCCTTGCATATGTTCAAATTATTTACACAAGTGTGCTTGTATCAGCAAGTTGTAAGTGCAGACCTATAAACCCTGCCCTGCCTGTGACCTCAGACCAGCATAGCTCCAACAGCACTGCTGCCCTGAGAAGAGCTGGTGGCAGCTGCTTCAGAGAGTTGCCAGCTAATGGGCAGTGTTATGGTCCCTGTTCAACATACACTTTTTTAAAGAAAAAGGAAGATGAGGTGATTTTGGTTGTTTTCCATCATCATTTTCTAGTGGAGATTTTTCCCATAGGGCTGGGTCTTTCTGCTTTCTCCTCTTGTTTCTGCACCACTGGATATGTGTCTGCGTCTAAGGTGTTCCTGCTCCCATTTATGCCACTTTGCATGGGAAACTGCCAGCATGGTTGGGCTTAAATGGCAGGATGGCCCCAAGCTGCAGGTACTGGCATTAGGAGGAACTTCTACTGCCCAAATTCTCTTAGGCTTCTGCATGCAGCAGAAAGCAGGCCAGAGAGCATAATTAGAGCTCGGAAGTAAGGCCACTGGAAGGCTTCTGCTCTCCGTGCAATTGGTTCAATGTTGAAGTCCCTCTGCAATTGGGTTGACTCATGTTTTATAGGCATTATAAATATGTTAAGAGGAGAGCACATTTCTGTTTTACTGTAAAATACTACTGTAATAACTGCAGTGTACTGTAATCTCTGATAATATACGGGAAAAGAACAGTTAAAGGTTCAGAATATATTATTAAAATGAAATGGGAAAATATTTGAGAAAGTAGTTAATATTCATGTAAAAAAACAACTAAGCTCTCTTAATATTGAAAAAAAAAAAAAGCCCTAAAAGTATGTGGCAGTTGGTCACACTGTGGACTATGTATCTGAAAAAGAAATAAGTTACAGGCCAAATAATTTTTCTGCACAAAGAATTGAGTGATTTTCTTATTTTTTCCCCAGCTAGAATGTGAGGAATGTCCAGCCTGGACTGTCCAGCTCATGGAAGTTCTGGCAGGGCTTTGAGGTGGTCACAGTGAACTCTCAGGTTTTAACTGAAGGTTAGATCAAGAAACTTTCTCTTGGTTGAAGGCTGAATAAACCTTTCAGGCTGAGCCACTCATTGACACTTGCCTTACTGTTACTCTCAAATAATGTTTTCCCCCTCCAAAACATTGCTGGCCAGTGGGGTGTGTGGTGTGTATGTGCAGGCTCTGCCAGGTCCACGAAGCAAATGTCCTCCACAGTCATCTGTATCAGGTATTTGTCTTCGCTCTTGCAAGGTGATTATTTGTTCTTGAACAAAATCTGCTGGTTTTCATAGCCTAACCCTTGTGATTACTCCCATTACTTACTAGGACAATAATTAATTATAAGGCAGCTAGCTCCTCACCTAGAGGCCACCCTTCTTACCACATCCTGATCACCTACACTCAGTACATGCAGGAATCAAATCTGTTACTCTCACTGTTGAACGAGTCTCCAAACGTTGAGGTCTTTGAACTTCAGCAAAATTTGAATTTTTGCTCTGAAGGACAACTGGGGGACATTTTGTGGGTTAAATAGTTTTCTTCTAGGTCATAGATTCTAAGGAAACAAAGATCCAGCCAATTCTTCATGCTCTGTGGGTTGTCTCTTAAGGCTGTTGGATGAGTTAGAATAAAAGCTGTTTCCTATCCATTCCCTGGTAATCACACATGAAAGCATGCCCATAATAATAATAATAATAATTTTCTGTGGATCTGAATTCATTCTAGACCACTGTCTTTTATTATCTTCTCTGTTGCTGCCCTGAAGAATGGGGTATCCCACTGCAGTACATACAGAATCCCTATAGGAGAGGCCATCAGCAGATCTGCATTGGAAAGTATGGGTTATTACAAGAAAGCTAATTGTTTCCCATAACTTTTCCAGTCCATACTGGGAAAGGACAGAACAGATTACAGGTGGAAGCAAGGACCCATGAATGATTAATGCTTACATTTGCAGAAGGCAATCATTGCAAGCCATGGCAAAGTGTCTGGGTCTGTCAGGGCAGTGCAACTGCTGCTTGCTACTGCTTTTAAATGATGCTGTTGAAAGAAAAGTTAGTGCTGGACCATCAGCCTCAAGTGTGCCGTAACTGAGCCAGGTGCTCATAGCTTTTCCTCTTTGCTGTTTTATTTTAATAGTTGGCCAGGAGTCTCCAAAGTACAAATGTTTCTCAAAAAAAGCTGTGTTTTGTGAGTGTGAATGTGACATTTAATTTTGCATGAGGAAGGGCCTGGCCCAATGTATATCATGGTCTTGGACACTCAGTACATTGAGCTACTAAGTGAGGAGTTTTGCATTCTTCTCTTTTTTTGGTCTTTCATTTTAATTTTTTTTTTTCCAGTGCTCTAGCTTCTCTTATGATGGTGCCCCAATCTCACTAGCCTGGGTTACAATCTCACTAGCCTGGGTTAGCTTACTCAGAATTGACCAAGAATTCTGTTTTAAAATTATTTTTTTTGTTATAATTCACCTACTCACATACCCTCTGTAAAACCTTCTTGAATTAACTACTGTGGCACAAAAGTTGTTCTTTCTGTCTGTGCCTGTGTTCAGTTGTTAATCTACACCAAGAGTGCTCACTTCGCGTATCTAACAGATAATTAGAGGTTCCAGTTGGACAGATCAGCTTCTCTGATTCCTCCTACCACTCAGACCAGTCTGGGAACATTCCCCTTTTTCTGCTCAATGTCACACCTTGCAGGCTATACCTGTCCCATCTTTTCCCATACAACCTTGGTCTGTCAGCCCCACTTTCCACTGATTGTCCCTGTCCACAGATTGGGAGAGGGAAGTGGTTGGCAGCACAGGGAGGGAGGCTGTGGGGTGCCACAGAGCTGCTCATCCTGTACCTGGCAAGCCTGGAGGACACGACTGTGGACAGAGGAAATGCTTCCCTGCAGCTGACCAAGCAGCCCACGAGTGTTATTTGCCACTTGTTGGCTGCCTAAGTATCACTCATGTGATAATATCACTGGTCTGGCAACAAACCCTTCTCTTCCTGAGCTCAGCCACACTTCACGTCCTGATTTCCTACCTAGCAGCCAGGTATCTGCATCACCTTTTTGGTCATGGGTTGCTCACCATGACTTACATCAGCACCGGTGTGTTTATGGTACCTGCGTTGGAGCTGGTGGTCGTACTGCCCTCGAGTAGCTGGCAGCAGAAGGAATTATGGGTTTGCAGCCGACTTTGCATGGAAAATTGGATGTTCTTTCTGTAAAAGTAGGGAGGAGCCGAAGAGCACAGCAGGTGACAGGAGGGATTCTGTCTCACTGAGGGAGTGAATCGTATCGAAGACTCATTTCAGACTCCAGGTCTGCAGGCATAGATCAGCACCAAGTTCCTAGATAGGATTTTTCCCCTGGAATGAGCACCTGTGGAACATGTACTGAGTTCAGCCACGCTGAATGTCTGGTGCAGTGTGAAGTGAGTGCTAATGGGACAAGGACAGTGATCAGCCTGGTGACAGCTGCCAGTGTGACAATGTGATGGCCTCCTCTGAGGCAGTGTTATCACCTTTTCATTGAGCTGCCAACCACTCTACTGACATCTTGAAAATGTTTTACATTTTGATTATGAAGGCTCAGGCAAAAATATTTTAACTGGGGTTTTGTTTAATCTGGAGGTTTTGCCTTTTCTAAGATAACCAATATCCAGGCAATTATTCAGTTGTATTGCAGAATATTTTATGTATATTCTTTCAGTAACTGTTTTTATATTTTTGCCATATTTCAACCTCTCTTATTCCTCAATACATCTAATTAGACCACAACAGCTTCTGCAATGCTTTCCATTAGAGCTCAGTTTCAGACACTAGATATTTCAGATTTCAGGTTTGTTTAGGGATTTTTTCCTAATATTGTTGCATTTAAATATCCTTTTTAATTTCTTACATGTTTCTGGATTTGAAAACATGCCAGAAATAAAATCTTGAATTTTGTCTGTATGTTGTGTGTCTTCTGAAAAATTCTATCTTAGTGATGAGTCTGCCAATAATATGAATTTGGTTACTTAAATCTTATGAACAAATTCAAGGCACAAAAAATTGCCATCCTTCAGTAATAGCTGCAAAATCTCAGTGGTCTTTTGAGATGGAACTGTGAAGCAGGGAGCAAGAACAGCAGTTATTTCAGCCAGCTTTCCTCCTGCTTTTATTTTTGTTTGCTCAGTTTCATTATTTTTCTCCCAGCTAGTCATACGTCCTAAAAGTGTGATGTTGATACTTTTTAATCACAATATCCATAATACCATTATTGTATTCAAAATAGACAAAATTTCTCTGTTTCCTCTTACTGTTTTCATTGTCAGAGTTTTGATGCCCTTTTCTGACCAGACTAGAAAACAGTGAAATTTTGAGTCTCAGAATGTGTCTAGAAGATGCTGTCTTTCTAAGGAATACCTATTTAGACAAAAATGTGCTAAAAATGTAATTGGGATTGTAAACATCAGTTGAACAGACTGAAGCCTAATACAGTTCAGAGACTTGGAATGGGTGGTGAAGGAAAGAGGGAAAATGAGCATCCAAACAAGGATGACTTGCTTTCAATGAAACTGGTGTAAATTCTCATTAATTTAAATATGAGAGTGAGTATGAGATGATCAGGTTTTCCAACAGAAAATTACCATTTGTTCTGGAAAAAACCTAAACGACCTCTTAAGACCTTTTCAGACCACAGGTTTATGTCAATAAAGAAAGGACAGAAAGGTTTAAAGAAAACAGAGTTAAATTAGGAGTTTATCAGAACATTGTAGTTACTAGAGTAGAAGGCTGGAAATGTAGCACTGAGCATCTGCATCTCTCTACTTTTAAGTTGTTTCAAAAAGTGAGGATAGGCACAGGTATTCCCACAGGGTCTCCCCTCTCAGGCAGTGTTTCTGAGCTGTGCATGGAAGGCAAACCAGAAAATGCTGGTGTTTCTGAGAATGTCAGCAGACGGGCTGCTTCAGTCAGTTGTGAGTAGTTTGAGATGCTGCTGCACATTTACTGCTTTTCACCACTGAAGGTGTTACCTTGGGGTGATCACAGAAGGTTTAAGCTCAGTTACCATAGTTCAGTTGACAAGACAGTAAGTTCCATCAAATGGGGCTCTATAATCCCAGAGTGCTCAGGCTTGACTGCAGGAAGACATTTTACTAAGCTATAATAGGACATAGAACTACCTTAGGAGTAATTTAAATAAAGTTGGATTGTTAGATTGTGTTAGTGCCCTGTGTTAGCAGAGTGAAGCTTGTAAGTTTTCTGGTCTGAATCTAAATCCGGCATATTTGTTTCCAGTATGGAAAACATTCCGGTATCTCTGGTTCTTCACATTTTTGCTGCATTGAAGCATGGCTTTATGAAGATCTGTGGTTGAAAATGGAGAAGGTGTGTGTTGAAGGGTGTGACAGGGGATGTAAACAGTTAGAGCAGACATACAAAGTTACGGTTCTAGAAAATGCTTTGGCTTCAAATTTTGCAGCTTTCTAAAATTTTTTATGTTTTATGGTATTCTAACAACTTCCTAATTTAACAGGTGCTTTAAACATTTATTCCTCTCTAAGTCTGAGGATTTCACTGTCTATTTAAGTACCTATAAAGGTACAAAAGGATGTACTGTGAAATATATAGCATTGTCTCTTTTTAAAGTCTGTGTCACTGCAAGTCTTGTGCTACACCTGTATGGGCCATTTACCTGCATTTTATAGGTTTGTTAGACTAGTGTCTGCATGGAGGGTGTTAAAAATATTCAGACACCTATCATTGCAATTAATTTTTTTATTAAAATTGCAGAAATTTCCCACCAATTTTGGGGGTTAATTTATTTCTGTTAAATTTAATCATTTCTAGGGTGAAGTTGTGGAATTCCTTGATGAGCTGTTAGAAGTGGAGGAAAAAAAGGAATCCTGATGAGTGAAACCACCACAAAGTATTTTACAGAAGTGAAGACTCACCATTGCTCCTTACTATTGTTTTTGATCACCTGTAGTTCCAGTTAGATATACCTCAAAGGTGCTTCTTTAAGCTGCACTTTCTGTCCCAAGAAAATCCACTCCCGAAAGGTCACTTCCATGCTGCACTGACTCTTCTGTGAGCATGGCTTTTCACTCTGCAGAACTGGTGCACATGAGTTTCCCCCTTGAGCTTTCTTTCCCTTACACAGACACAACAAAACAGACTGTTTCTGTTTTCTGGGATAACACCAAGGTTCCTCATTTTGGTGCTGTTTTACTAAGTTGTAGCAGTACAGCTAAATTCTCAAGAACTTTTGTCAGATTATGAACTATGGAAGACATAACAGTTCCTCTTTCTGAGCTATGAATTGTATTATTTATATATGTCTTTTTATATGATGTTGAATAAAGTGATGATGAATCCCGGTGCACCTGAAAGATAGTAAGGTACATTGAAATAGCTGAAATAAGGTGATTAACAAAGCACAACTAATGATCTTGTAAACATTGCTTAAAGAATTCTGAAAGCAGTGTTGGTTTTTCTTGAAATCTAAATTAAATTCCACTATGTGAAACTGAGAATAAAAATAATTTTTGCTTCCTACCAGTTGTTATTATTTATGTTAAATAGTCTGTGGTCCCTGTTGAGGTGGGGCCATCTTGTATGAAATACTGATAATTGATGTATTCTCCTCTGTAAAAAAAAATAGTTTGTGTGTTTTTTTCAGCCTGGTGGGACTATTTACATAGTTTTCATCCAAAGGTAAGTACTGGTGGAAACTGAGGTGACTTTCAGTGGAATAATGAAAAAACATTTGCATGTGATTTTTTTTTTTTTTTAAATTAACTGTATAGCAGAGTCCAATACAGAAGTATTGGTACAGACCAAAAAAGGTATGATAGAGAAGAGTAATGAATTAGTGCTCAAGTCTATTGAAGAGAAAAAATCCCCTTGAACTCGGAGAAGGATACAGGATGAAATCCTCTGCTTTCCTCTTTTGTTTTCAAGGATCAAGTCCTGCAAGTGGTTTCATCAAGGGGAGATGAGCATTCTATGCATGTGAGCATCCAGAAGAGCATTCACCTCTGATGGAATTGTAATTCAGCTGAAAGGAAGTGTACTACAAACCCTTAATCTGCTTTGAGTTTTTAAAAAGGCAAAACATGGTCTACATTAGCTTGCCAAGTTGTTGCTGCTATAGTTTATATAAGCTGTAGTAGTCTACACTATTGAGTGTCTATAGGGAATAAGAAGGAGAATCCAAAGGATGAGGTTTCAGTGTCCTTCAGTATATGACAGCAATGAAGCATTTGAATTTGAGTGTGAATGATGTTTGGAAGATCAGATTGGCTTTTTTTAACTGCTTTAATATAAATCACAACTAATGCACTGGAGTTGATGGGCAGACTGTTTTAATCTCAAAATGAAAATCTATCAAGAGCCTTTTAACTTTAGCAGATTTGCCCAACTCAGCTTGTGGTAAGGAGACCAGAAATATGGCTTGCTGTGTGCCTTGGACTGACAGAGGGTTGTACATATCACATTTCCTCATGGTTTTGTTCTACACAATATTAGCACTCTGCTCATTGTAATTTTATGTAAGAATTGAAATTTGCTTTTTGTAACTTTTTAAAGTTGTTTACAAGCAGTTGATTGTAAACCATCACTTCACCCCATGAAATACACTAATATTCTACTGGTGTAGCTTCTCCAATTTATCCTTTGTTTTCTCTTGTTGGAGGTATGTGTATGCTCAAAGGAGAAGTTACTGCTCTGGAGTCCCCTTTTGACCTTCTGCCTTCCAGCTTGCATAGACAACTCCAGATTTTGTCCTCAGGAGCTCAACCAGTGATGGGGGAGACTTCACTGCAGTTACAACTTCCTTGTGAAGAAAGAGGAGAGGCAGGCACTGATCTCTGCTCTGTGGTGAACAGCTACAGGAGCTGAGGGAATGGCCTGAAGCTGTGTCAGGGAAGATTTAGGTTAGATATTAAAGAAAGATTCTTCACCCAGAGGGTGGTTGGGCACTGGAACAGGCTCCCCAGGGAAGTGGTCACAGCACCAGCCTGACAGAGCTCAAGAAGTGTTTGGACAGTGTTCTCAGGCACATGGTGCAACTCTTGGGGTGTCCTGTGCAGGGCCAGGAGCTGGACTCCATGATCCTTGTTGGGTCCCTTTCAGCTCACAAGATTGTGTGATTCTGTGATAGCCAGTAGCTTCAGCTTTGATACTCTTAGCATTCAAACCCAGGAATCCCACCATTAGAGTGTTGGAGATGGATGTATCCATCTACATTGTCTTTGCTTTACAGCATTTTTAGTTCACTTTTTTCTGTCACCATTTACCAAACTGACTTCAGAGCTCTGCCAAGCTCTGGCTGTTCCCCTGGCTGTTTGTTTCTGTGGTGCCTTGTGGTGCCCCTGCTCCTGTGTGCTGTCTGTAGGTACTGCAGTGCAAAGCTTCAAAGGCTCCAGGAGTGATGGTTGTAATTCAGGTACCTGAGCCCAAGGTGTTCCATGACTGTACATCCCATGTGGAAATGGCATGTGCATAAAGCTCCTAATCAGGTGTTGCCTGTTGGTGGAGCAAGTAGCATAGACTGCAGTAAGTATGAGAGAAAGGAAGTTCCAGGACCTCTTTGTTTTGCACCCAGAATTACTTCTGTGCAGTTAAAGAACTCCATTCCCCTTTCCAGCATTGTCTGAGAATCCTATTATGTTTTTTAAAGAGCAAAGGACATGGTAAAATACTGCCATATTTTCAGTCCACCAGTAAAAACTAAGCACCCGAGTTACCTGTTTTGTGATTCATTTGACTTCAATGGATTACAGTGGGAATACGTTTGATGCCTCTGAACCCTTATTTTTCCTCTTCATCAAACAGTTTTTCAGTGGTTATTGCAAGTCTCTCAGGTACTATCAATTTTCTGGCAAGCTTGTGATTTGGTCTTCAAGGCTTCCTTATCTAATCCCTTCTCACGTTCACTGATTTCCTCTTGATCTTGCAGCTAAACTCCCCTCCCATTGTGCCTTTTCAGGTGGGGGTTTCATGGTTTACTAAGATGTCCATCAGCCAGTGATCTATTTTTCTTAAGCCTACTTAAAGTAAGTCTGATGTCCTCTACCATTTAATTTAACTTGAGGAGGAAACTGATACTCTTGCAGACTCGTGAGATGGCACCGTGATCCCTTTTTCATTTTGTTCAAGTGTCTGTGGATTTTCTTTCTGGCTTTCTTCATTTCCACTACATACAGTCCCAAGCCAGTTCCATCTTAATAAGTACAAGCAGTTCTCAAACCCTTGTTCTTTTCTAATGAGAAATAGCTTCTCTTCCAGTTCTTCAGTATTTATTGTGGCTTTTTTCAGCATTCTCAGGTTCGTTCAAGTGATTTTTCTTTTCCTGCTGCTATTGTTAAATGCCAACATTTACATGTGACTGTAATAACTTAGTGTCTCTTCTTCCGATCCTGCCAACTCCTCTTGGGAGGCAGTGGGAATATTCCTGCCTCCCTTCTGCCACCCCAGATTCCTGCAGTTGTGAGTTGTCAGCAGCTTCTGCCTAACATGATGGGATATTTAGATTTGTCTCCACTTTTGGCAAGGTTTACAGTATGATGCTGATGCTCATGGAAACATCATCGTGTTGAACACACCGTGTTCACATGACAGGTTTGAGTGCGGCATTGGTACTGTATCTCTGTCCACCTTGGCGGTAGTATTGCCTGTTGTAGAGCTGTATAGCTACACTTTTTAATTACTCACATTTCTAATAACAAAGCTGGCTATTCTGGTAGCTGCTGTTGGCCTCTGATGCTCTGTCAGTACTTGCAAGCAAGTCTGCAATAATTCCCTCTGCGTGTCGTTCTGTCACTACTTGGAGGAGAATGGAGGGTGAAGTCCGTCTTTTGCAGATTTGTAGCACAGGGGGCTGCATGCATGTGAGTCCTGAGCTTGTTTTCTTGTTGAATGGGGTCCTGCATGGTGGGGAGCTGCTTGGAAGCTGAAGATTAAACTGAGTTAGAACCCGTCACACTGAGGTGCATATTTGTTTAGGTGAAAAACACAACTGCTGGCTGTCAGGACATTCTTTGTTATGCAAGAACTAAAGCTTGGGTAAAGGAGGACATGCACAGGTTGAAAATCAGTGCATTTCACAGAATCTGCTAAGACTATAGTCCCTTTCAAATTAATGCCTACTCTTACCAGCAGCAATTCTTTTTAGTACTGGCTCCTTGCGAATTCATCCTCACAAATGGCAACATTCATTAAAAAAAGGAAGAAGGATGGTAGTGATTTTTCTCCTCAAAGCTTAATTTTGCTCCCATAAAAGAGCATTTCAGGCTCCATACTTCTGTGCCTCGGCAATTCCTATTGCCAGTAAAATCAACAAATACTTCTAGAATGATCAGTTCTGGCAAATTCAATGGGGATACAAATGTCCTGCTGGGACCTTTCATTTGCCATAGCAATCCTGCAAGCAGACCTTCATTACTTCTGTTGACAAGGCATGACCCAACAGCAAATTCAAATTGCTCCATTTTCCAGAACTTTACTGCTTTGGAATGCTAGAATATAAACCCAAAAGTTAGTCAGTTGCTGTTCTTAATTCACCCAAAGAGCCCATCCAATCAATGAGGTGTCATTTCTCCATATTTTCCAGAAAACCTACCCCCCCTGAAAATCTGATAGCATGTCCTGCTTTACAGAGTTCTTTCTCAGTACTGTTGCCATCAATACCCTCCATTTATCTTCACATCCTTTACAATGAATTATTGGTCTGTATTGATAATGGAGGCACACTTAGAAAATATTTCCATTTCAAGAGTCTTCGTGAAAAATGGTTTAAATAGCATGCAAATTTTGCAGCTCTGAAAACGGAGCTGTGATTAGACAAAGATTTGTTGGATTATAAAAGTACAAGTGTTTATTATGGCTGGTACTGAGAATAAACAGTTGCCTGCATATGCCAGCTACTATGGAAATATGTTTTTAAGTTCTAATGTGAGCTGTAAACCAAAGCTACTTCAGTTAAAAAAATGCAATACTTAAACTGTGGGGAGGAGTAGTCTGCGCCAGAGAAAACATTCTCATTTAATAATGTTTGAACATAGAGCTGTGATGCAGTTTGTAGCAAGGCAGTGAGAAAAACCCACAACTAATCCTTCATTGCAGCTGTCTGAACTTTTGGTCGTCTGCCATACTTTAAACAGCGACTTCTTTTTCCTGGTGACTCAAGACCTGAATGACCTAGTGTGGAGAGTTTAAGCTCTATACAAAAAAGGAGTTAAGTAAGAAATGGCCAAAGTAAGTTGGGTTGCACACCCCAGCAAATCAGGGGTTTGTATCTTAAGTCCTCTTCAGTACCTAGCAGAAAATACTAAAAAAAACAGATACATTTTTATTTATTTATTTTTGGCAAGGAAATATTCAGTGGTTTAGGCATCCATCTCTCCTCCTTCCCCTCCTCTCTCTCCTTAAAGTACTGATGTTATATGGAAATGAAATTCTGTAGAGAGTTCGAATTTTGAAGTCTATAAATGCTAACTTTTCTTGTAGAAAAACTTTCTAAGTTTTCTTTGATTATTTTTAACTTTTTCTTCCCATTGATATATCTCATGGGTCGGTCTTTTCACCATCATGAAGTAACAAATGTGCTTTTTCTTCCTGATAAATTCTTTTGCAAAGTAATGGAACTTGTTTACTTTCAAATGGGAATATGGGAGTCAGAGAAGTAAATTTATAGGTCCATTAACTTAAAAGAAAATAAAAAAGGGGCTTTCTGCCTTTGCCCCATTCTCACTATCACTTATCTGAAAAAGGATTAAACACTGAAGTATTATCCTGAGCTGGTAGAAACCCTGTAGTTTGACAAGCCTTATGATGGTATAATAATTTCTTATTAAGGGTAATTTTTAAGTGGTCATTCATAGCTACCTATTCTGATCTTTCACAGATATGTATTATGTTTTATCATTGCATTACAAATTATTTGGCATAAAAAAAAAAAGATAAATCATTGAAGAAAAAAGTCAATCTATGCTGGGTCCAATGCCCATAGCAACAAATCTCCAGCATAATAGATTTTGAGGTACAGTAACCAATAAGGCAGTACAGTACAATAACTATGTATTGTTAGGACAAGCACAGAAATTGAGGGGATTTCAGCCTGAGAACTTAGCAAACACCTAAAATGCATGAACCCAGTGTTTCTGTACAAGGGGGAGCAACCTCCTTTTGGTTGCAAGGGTTTGAACCCCCAAACATTGCCAGTAGCTGTGATGTTACACCCTACAGTGTCACTTTTCAGCCTGCTGAAGTCAATTTGTAGTCTCTGTCCAGACACAGCAGCACAAGGTCTGTATGAAATGGGGGCCAAGTTAATAGGTTAACAAAGGAAAGGAGAGGAAAGGGAGATCATATCTCAGTCTTGACTCCAGTGGGCAAATTCTGACCAGCCTGTTGTAATATGTGATTTCCCTAGAAAAGAATGATACATGACTTCTATGACAGATCAATGGCTGGATGTCACCACCACAAAAGCACTTCTGATACTCCCCCCCCTTTTTTTCCTCTCCTAATTTCAACATGCAGCTGGCAGTTTCAGCTTTGATTCCTAGTTAATTTATCTCCTACCCTGTTTTGACTTTATCATGCTAAGATTTTGTATTTTTTGTATAATATATATATATTGTTTGCCACTCCCATTATCTGTGATTAGCCAAGTTTCCCACACAGAAGGAAGTCTAAGTCAAATGTGTCATTGAAGAGCTGTTTATCTCCATCTGTTTATTAGTTTTTCCAAACTCCCTGAATCATTCTGGTAAAGTGGATACTGTGAATACAAACAAATGATGCTGGAAAGGAGGGTAGGTGTTCTTAAGCAGAACTGGGCTGGCAGTCTAAGCTAAACACTTTTTAGCTAATATTCTTGATATCAAAGTGCCTTCCACAAGAATTATGAAAGTAACAGGCCTATCTTTTCTCCATAAACTTGTGGGTAAACTGGATGATTTGCACAAGAACACAAGCACACACTTCCTTTCCTGGTGTTTTTGTAACTTGAGTTTTATTTAAATACCTCCAAAGTATTATGTTAATGTACACTTTATTCTGGTTCATGAATAACAAGTGTTTCTAGGTCTCAGATAAGATCCTTGATCAATTTGTATTTTGAGTCTCATTTTTACACATTCTGTTCCTAGGACAAATAGAATTGACTTTTCATTTTCAATGATGCTACACAGAACTGCAACACCTACTTGTACCTTTCAGTTAAACAATATTTTTAATGGACATTCCTGTGTTTATTTTTCAGCATATTTCCATGGGATCACAGATGATATGTTTTAGTTGAGTTAACAGTCTCCATGAAGTTGCTTGGTGTGAAATCCATTGTTGGGGTTTCTTTTTTAACTGCTTTAAAAAAAATAGTTTACAACAGAAATTCTAAGTTATTTCATAGTGTAGAATGCATTAAAAGCATAAAGTCATGCATATGTCAGAGACATATTTACAAATCTGTACAGTTACTACAGCTCTTGCCAGGCAACAAGATTCATCTCTTACCCTTCTGAGGTCAAACTCTCCAAGATAACCATAGCCATTGTCTAAAAATGCTTTTTTTGCTTACCAGCCCTGAGATTGATGGCTGTATGTATGATGGGCCCAGTTCTGCACTCCATTTCATAAAGCCTACCTTCCATGGAGTTAGAGGTGATTACCACTGTGACTCAAGCCAGAACATGGAATTAATTCCACCCAGGCACCTTTTCTTACTCTTTGACTAAGGCTGAATGGCAGATGAATTTATTTCTGACCGGCAGATTATTCACAGTTGCCAGACTTCCTCTTGTTCATTCAGAAATGTAAGTAAGAAAGACCTCATACTAAACTCACACGAACTATGCTAAGGGATTCTAGAAAACATATTCCACTTTCTTCATTTCCGGAACTGGTGGAGATGGAATGTGCTATTGGAAAAGCATCCGTGCTTTTACACCAACAGCCAGTCTAGAAACTGAGTGCATTTTATCAACTAGGTGCAATTTATTTCCTTCCCAGATCTGCTTTATCTTTAAAACCACAATAAGCAGCATGCAAAGGGGCTGCCCATCTCCCAGAGCCAATGTCCACCCCTCCAGCCAATGCAGGAGCAGAATGGTGAAAAATCAGTCCTTCCACAGAGTTCACATGGCAGAAGTATTACACATGGCAAAGTATTACACATGGCTTCAGTTGCCAGAGGTACTGCTGGCTGTGAATATAAGTTCAGTATCTTGGTCAGTCAACACTGTGTTCAGAAAGCAGCCAACTTTATACAGGGTTCCCCTGGAAAGTGCTTTACCAGCGTTTGGCTCTGTAATGAGAGGCTATTCATCATAACACCTGGATCCAAAGGTGCTCTGACTCCTCTCCTGCTCATACTGAAGGAAGAATGGCACTTACCATATTCTCTGAATTCTGGGGAAACATCGTCATTTCTACAGGAAGATTAGTTATAAGAATGGCATTTCTTCACTAAGCCTAAAAGAACACCTTCCAGAACAGTAGCATAATGATCCAACATTTGTGGCTTGTTAAATTCACAACATTGAAGAAAATTACCTTAGTAATCATTGCAATACTATCCATTAAAGTCTGGTAGCAAATAGTTTTTCTCTTTAAGACACATCAGGTAATAATTTGTTATGGTGGTTTATTCTGACCAGCTTGGGCAGGTTCTAAAAAAGGAGCAAACACCAAGCGTGTGGTTGCTCCAAAATCATCCTTCTTCCATTCTTCCCTCCTTCTTTTCCTCTTTTACTGAGAACAGACCAAAGAGGCCTGACCAGCCCTACCATTACATTATAAGCAGGTAACACAGAAATTAATCAATTAATTTATTATTAATAGGAGCAGAATGTAAAAGCGGAACAAATTGAAGATGTACTACTGAGCACACTGTGTCCTGCTGGTGTCTCCAAAAGACCCTTGTGATAAAAATGTACAGATTCTTTAGCTCTGAAAAGTCGAATATGCTAGGCTGCAATTTCAAAAGGATGAAATCTCTTCTGTCTTCTATGTTCTTCTAGCATTCTTTTTTTCTTCTGCTTTCTGCACTGCTGGATTTTAGCAACCATGAGTCATGTGTCTTCTAGCATCAATGTTTTTTCTTCCGATCTCTGCCAAAAGGCCCCTGGTTAGACTTTCTGCATTTCAATGTGCTGGTGGTGGTAGTGGTGGTAACAGTGATGTCTGGGCTGACACCTTCCATTTAGTTTATAGACAGAATTTTTCTGCTGCCGTTTTTTGAAAAACCACACTGCCAGAACAGCTGCAACCAGTAACAAGCAGAGAAGAATCACTATTATTGCTATGATAGCACCTTTACTGGACTTGGGACAATCCTCTCCTTCACATGGCTCAGAAGTGGGGATGGGCTTTTCTCCAAGGCCCTGAGTGAGACTTTCTTGCTCTGCTAAATCCTGGGACACTGTGTCAGTAATGATGTCTGGTGCAGTGGTTGCTACTTGTTCTGTGTAGGTGGTTGTGTCTCTTGGTTCTGTGTATGGAGTGTAGGGGCTGACGGTCACAGAGGTTTCTGACATGGATGTTTTTGAGCTGGTTATGTCAAACAGCATCGTTGTAGTGGGCTCCTGAGTCAGAGTTTCCAGAGATGTAGCTGGATGTTCCCACACGGCATCATCATAACCCCTGCTCACACTAAAGTTCTCCAGACCACTCACTGATGTAAGTGGTGCTGGTGTCTCTTTAGCCCCTTCATCGTCCACCCCTGTTGCTGCCACAATCTGCGTTAGGCTCTCTTCCAGAGCTGGGCTGCCATTTCCTGATTTTCTTTCTTCCACGTGATTTGGTTGATCAGTTGTGAGGATGATGTCATCTTCTGTTCCCATCGAACCATCAACTTTATCACCCTCTTCATCATCCTCTACCACCTCTTGTGTTACTGGATATCCATCTAACCACGACTCATCAGTGATGGCAACTGCATCCATCGTTATCTTTGTATCATTAGTTGTGAGAATGGGTCCAATGGGGAAATCCTCACTGTCATAAAATATTTGGGCACCGGGTACACCATAGGCTGTCTTCCCTCCAATGTGGTTATCACCTTCAGAAAACTGTGCTTTAGTGGAATCATCTGTCTCTTTCTCTGATTCAGGCTCACTGAAACTTTCTGATGGAAACCAAAACAAGTTTTTTTGGCTTAGGAGTGACACGGGGGACTCAGTTGGTGCCCTGCTTCCTTTTTCAGAAATGTCTGTGTGCTGAGTAACCCCTTTAGTACTTCCAGTTCTTCCTTCCTCTGAACTTTTACTGAAGGAAAGCTGCATTTGCTCCTGCTCAATTTCCTCTTTGCCATTGCCATGGTCATTCTCAGCAATAGGTATTGATCTGTCATCGGGAAAGTTATCTTCATAGTCAATGTGTGCCTCAGTTTCATCTAGAAACATTAAAAAAAACAAAAGCTCATAAGCCAACATTTAATTCTCTGGAAAAGCACTGAGCTTGTTTATTACAAGAAGCCAAGAAAAAAGATGCAATGAGAAGTGACTTCTAGGCAGTATTTTTCATTCTGTGTAATTTTTTATTTGAGAAGTGCATGGTCCTTGGGCTGATATTCAATTTCATGTTTTTTTTTTTCTGAAAGAATCACAGTAGGTGTCAATGCCAGCAGCTAATATCTTATCTTTCCAGATTTAAAACCTCACTGTCTACAGTTAGAGGACTTCCTCTGCTTATTGTTTTCTCAAACCTTTTCTCTCCCTAGTAGGACTCTTTGCAAGATTTGAGGAAAAACTTCCATCTTATTCAAGCAAGAAACGTGTGTGGAGAGAACGATATAACAAAAACTAATCAATTACTAATTGGTAATAAAAAAAAAAAAACAGAACAGACAAAACTAGAAGTTTTGCAGCAACTTCATCCCATTTCAGATAGATGATTTAAAAATAATTTGTTCAGTACTTTATGCTTGCAAGATATCAAGGCACGTTTTTATCAGTATACTGCTTTTTTCAATCACCTTGGTGTTAGAATGATACAACACCTGGGGCCAGAACAGTATTTCTTATTCCATAAGAGCTCTTCAAAGCTGACAGGCAGACTCCACCACCAGGGCTGACACTGAGTTCTGCTGGTTTTCATCTGAAAAAAGCAAGATGCCCCCTGCAAGGCTGGAAAACCCTGTCTCAAACACTTAAAGGCACACACCTAGTTACCATGATAATGGTAATCAACTCTCAGGCTTCCACTTTTAAGGAATTAAATGTTGCCATGGGGAAAAGAGAAAAAAAAATAACACAAAACACAATTGGTAAAAAGACTGAGTGCAACAGAGGGGCTGATTCATTGCAAAGCTCGAGTTTGATTTAGAAATACTCAACAGCACTCATACAAAATAGACTTGACTCAAAGCACAAAGCTAAATGTTTGAATTTGAATGGAATAGTACATTGTAATTTATATTTCTCCAAATATTCTAAAGCCTTAGCTCAATGACAAATTTTCCAAACTGGACAGGGTGGTTGATTTTCAGTTCATGAAAGTGTTACTCCATAGAAAGTTGATGTAATTTCTGAGATTTATGCTGGCATTAAAAGTCATAAAAAATAGTGCCTTGGGATATGGAAAATAAACTAAATCATAGTGAGAATTTTTCTTTTTAAGAGGGCATTTAGTCTTTTATGAAGATGGTGAAGCAATAGACCTGGCATGACATAGGAAACAAGAAATTAACAGGAGAACCTGTATTACAGTTCACTGCATTCGTAAAGCCTTATCTTTTTTTGCCTTTTTACAGTCAGACAATTTTGAATTACATTTTCATCTGGGGCCCACCTCAATTTCCGCCTGAGTCACTTTCTCCTTGGAGACTGCTTCCCAGACTTCTGGCAGAGCCATATTTGGTCTACTCTTAAGAAAGATTAGAAATATTGTCAAACCAGCCTGACCAAAACCACTTAGCAGTGATACAGCTCACACCACCTCACTTTTTGCCAGAACAGCTAAAGCCAGGTGCCAAAACAGAATGAGCATTTGCAAAAGGTATTTATCTTGGAATAGCATCTGGGTCTACCAGAAACCAAAGCAGTTATGCTAAGGAAGCTCAGAGAGTTAATACCTCTGTGAAAGCTATCATACTGGAGAGCTGGATGTTCTTAGCAGGTCCTCTCATCCCACAGGAAGTGCCAACAACAGACCTCTCTCCCTGCTGGTCCCAGTGTCCTCATCTGCTTGAGTAATCTTCTAGATCCTCCCCATCTTCTCCAAAGCAGGAAAAACTTCTGTCCCGTTCAAGGATGATTTAACAGTCAGGGGAATACAACTCTTAGAGTAGAAAGCTTCCTGGTAGGACTCTCACTTCTCTAATTAATCCTAAAATCTTTTCCAATAGTATTTCAGACTTTCACAAATGAATGGAGGATAAGTCTGAATACCAAGGCACTTTAGCACTATCCATCACAATGCAGCACTTCTACTAACTGTCAAACTTTAGTCTCACTTTGTCCCTTCGTTTGCTTCCACTTTAGAATTTTTCTACCTGGCTGGCACTCTCTTTGCACAGAAATGGTGCCTCAAACTATTTTATCCCCTAATCATCCAGACTCCTGCTAGAAGTTGATATCTGGCATGCCCGCTTCACTAAAATTCAGTGTGTCTGAGCCTATAGGTGTCTGTGGCATGTATATGAACTGGAACATCAAGAAGCCACCGTTTGCCAGCTGTTACGGTCATTGTTGTCTTTTTTTAATTGAATCACCACAACGGCCTCGCTTCACCTCTGTGTCTCTTGTAACCTGTATTTTTGCTACTCCTTTGCTTTCCACACTATGGTAATCCAGCTGAGGTTCAAACAGTAAACAAAAATTACATCCACACGCTTGTGTTGTTTCCTCCAGACCTATTTTTTAAGTAGCAATATGAACGGGCAGCTAGCATTCATCACATTGACCAGTACCTTAAGTGTGAGTAGATCATTGGTGAATGCTTAGCTTTTTAGAGATTTTGAAGCTCTTTCCCTTCAGTGTTTCTCTTGCCATGTAGATTCAGCCCTCTAGGAGAAGATCCTATGGAGGCACATCAGGAAAAAGCATGTGCTTCTAAGAAAGTGCAAGTCCCCATTCTATCAGAACATATTAAAGGTTTGTCGAACCATCAGTCAGGTCTCCATCAAACATGCTGCCTTTTGGCATGATCCTGCCTTTAGAGAAGTGAATTGGTGTTTTCTTAATGCAGAGCTGGGGGAAGAAAAAGCCCATTGTAGTCTAAAGAGATCCTGAGATTGGAGCTCATTATGCACTGCTTGTCACCACATAAGGGAGTCTTGTTCCCTCTCACAATCAGATTGTGGCCCAAGTTGTAAAGCTGCTCTAACATATTTTCATATTCAATCTCCCGTATTTGTAGAGTTTATAGCAAAGACTATCAACATAACTAATGTTAGCTTATGGGATGCCAGAATGAAAGCAACTATTGAGCTCTCTAACCATCAAAGGAAATACAGACCCCCTTACTCTGGAGCTTTGATTTATATGATCCTGGATTGACTTACACAGTAATAATACTCTGTTCTTTCTTCTGGGCCTCAGACCTTCAAATGGGACTTGGAGTCAGTATTTAGTGGCTCTGTGTTACCATGACAATCTTCTAAGTCCACCATGAGCTTGATTTTCCAGGAATAGGCACAACTTCTGCACTTCTTTTTGCTTGCCTCCTCAGCACTTTCCAGTTCCCTGAATTTTAGTGTTGGTACTGAAGAGCAATGATCAAACTAGATTCAGCTCCACTTCTTATCCAAAAAGTTGTAGCCATTATTTATACACATTTTTAAAACTGCTAGCAATTGGTTTAAAAGTGATTACATCTTTCTTTCTAACTAGGCAGGTCTGGTTTTAAGAAGAGCCAGCCCTGAAATTAATTTATCCAAGATCAAAATCTTTCTATTTTTGGTCATTGTTACATCTTGACCATACCCTCTTCTGGCAGACTCAAGGATCAGTGAGTTTTTATTCACTGTCTGAGGGATTACTGAGTCTGAAATGAACACTTTACAACAAGAGGTGCTGAAATGACATACTACCAAAGATGTGAAGCTCAGTTAAAAGGTAAAATCCTTTTAATTCTTAATTAATCCTTTTTGGGAAACATCCAGTCCTCTAGAGCTTTCATCTCCTTCAGTTTTTGATCTTAGTGTGAAAACAGTGACCAAACATATAGACAGGCAAAAACAAAGAGCCTGTGCTTCCACACTCTAGGATCAGTTTAATTTCTCTTCTTGATAGCATATTGGCATCCAAGCTCTATTTTGAGTGTTGCTATTTTGGACAACCATAAAGTGCACAGCATATTTTATGGGTGTATTTTTGGAGTACAGGAAATTGAAACCTGATTCTATATAGACCATCATTATAAATATTTATACTGTATAAAAAGATCTTTAGTCTAAGAATCTCAAAGTAGCTACAGCAAAGATCAACAAGACAGAATCTGTCTTTTAGGATGGGGAGGAAAAGAGCATGTAGACTGATTTGCCTAAGATAAGTCACATTTGTGAACTACAATATCTCAAAGAATTATCCATTTAGTTTGGATCAGGCACACAAACCACTTTCTAGTCAGCCACAGTATACTAGACAGAAATTGTGCCTTTTGTCTTTTGCAATAGCTACAAGAAAGAGGATAATTTTTATTCCAGCAGAAAGCCTGCTAATATAAATAAATAACCCATCAACATTTTTTAAACTTATTCCATTTGGCAGAATCCATCCATGCCAGATCAATACTTTACATTAATCTAATACAACCCCTCAGTGACAGGTCTGAAAATGGAACCAAAGTTTGTAATAACAATTGTTTTGACAGGCCACGGACATATTTGTTGCTGATTATATTTGTCTGTCACAAATCTTCCTTTGCACTCACAGAATGAACAAAAAGAGAGCATTTTCCAGTAAGATCAAAAGCCAGAGACATTTTGTTTGATTCCCCACATTAAAAATAAGAAACCAAAAAGAAATGGTGCTAGCTCGTCATGCTTACAGACCACACATATGTGAACCAATATAATTCTTGAAAACTCAGAAGGCTATGTTTGAAGTAATGAGATTTGTTGAGGCAGGCAAAAGGACTGGTAGCTGCAGATTAAGTGATCAAAGTCAGCCAAATCCTCCTTACACTGGCATCAGAAGGATGGTCCTCAGCATGGAAAAGTTGGAGTACCTCGGAGCACACTAGCTGTGTGTCCAGGCGTTGTCATTGGAGAGATTCCTTAGATGTGTAGAAGGTTTAGGCTCTCCTGCCACAAGCATATAGCTGGAAAAACCCAAAACAATCCAGGGAAAGGATAGATATATGACATTCCTCTGAGCCGGTTTTAGGGCAGAGATGGAACATGATTTCCCATCTCATCTGCCCTCTCTTTGAGGAAGTAAACCCTAGAGAATGCAGCCTAATGCAGTCCAGCCCTGACCTCCACCACTGAAGTGCTGGTATTAATGCTTCTGATATTGAACTCATGGTTTATTTTGCGAAAAAAACAAATGTCATTTAGCAATTGTCAGTTTAATCTCTGTGCTTGCAGGACAGTCCCAGCATGGCACATATTCATCACTTTCAGACCTTACTACAGTGTTCTTCAGGATATATTTTGTGAAACAAATGCATTCTACAGAATTAAAAAAAAAATAATAAATGGCAAAATCCATTCTGTTCTCTCCTTAAGGTTACTTTGTTGGACTAAATATCCCTGTGTTTTCAGCTAGAACACAGTGCCTTTTCATAACAAAGAATTACAGGAAACAGAGTCACTGTTTTTCTTAAAAAGCATCTTAATTAAAAATTACTGTCTATTACCTGGTGTGCACAATGTACATTACAGCCATTTGTAATGTACTGCTTTCCTAATTTCCATCATACTTTACTGTATCTGAAATCCACTTAATATAAGTCCAAAATTACTTTTTTTCAGTTATGTCCATAGCCAGGTTTTGCCATGTATTTTGCATTATGTGTCTATTTGATTATATATGTATTTTTTAAATTTTAATTTGCAAATCTGCTGACTGTATGGCCGTACACTTATAGGCCAGGTGCCAGAATGGACTGTATCTCTTCTTTCTGGATCAAAACAGAGAGGAAAGATGATCACAAAGAGACTTCAAAGAACATTTAACTGCTATATTTAGACACTGCAATGATGATAGTTCTGTGACTCCGTATTTGCTCTGTGTGAGCAACTGGGAATGTAAAGCCAGTCTGATGCTTTTCCACAGTCAAGAAAAGCATGCAGTCGCTGCTGTTTAGTCTGCCTGGACAGCTGGGTATTATAATGGGGCAGTTACCAAGTAGAACAATGCTACTCGAGGTGTAACATCCACAAATCCCAGCAAGCTTTATGAGATTGGATAAATGTCACCACTTTTCCACAGATGAGGTGGAGTAAGCAGCAGAGAGCAGTACAGTGACTTGTCCCTAGTCTCAGAGACACTGCAGGATATAGGAACAGGCCTTATACCTCTTGATGCTCTGGCCAGGGTTTTGTCCCCTTTTTGTTGGAGTAAGAGCATTGGGACTAGTTTACATTTCTCAATTGCTCACCAAGCACAGATGCAGAGCAAGGGCACTGTATCATCTTACCAGGCTCTAAACATAGCACTTAAATGTTCACTGAAGTGGCTTCATGAACATCTTTCCACTGATGTCAGCCTGTTAGGACAGAAGTGGTCCAGTCTGCCAACAGGAATTTAAATTCTCCATTAAGTCCCATCATTAACCTTCATGATAGGGAAGGTGCTCTCTTGCCTCAGAACACTTAAAAATCAGTCTGTGTGCTGACTTCTGGAGTACTTAATAATTGTTCTCCTCTCTCCGATGACCCCAAAATATCAGTCAACTCTAAATCAAGTTCCTTTTAATTAAATTCCCTTTTTTTTTGCTGCCCTTTTTCACTGGGTTCTCACTTTTTTCAAAATAATGAAACCTAGTATCACACATTTAAATCATCCTGTAAAGTGTTCTTTCTTAAACAATTATGATCAAAAGGATTAAATGCATAATTATTACTAGAACAATTATTGTATTTTCTGTCCCATGTCCTTAAAGCATTTGAAAAATATTAATCAGAGGAAGCCCCCCAGCATGAAATCTACATCTAAATAATTTTAAAAATCATAATCCACAATATCATATCTGCTCCCAAGTTTCAGTGTTGATGTTTGTGATTTTACAGCCACACGTTCCTACTTTTTGTTTTTTTTTAATATTTTTCTCTCCCCTATGGCTGTGTGAAAGGCTCAGGCAAAACAGGGGAAAGAGACTATTTATCCAAAGAAAACAGTGAAACACACACAGCTGACATGGTCTGATTCTTTCCCTTCCTTACTTTGGTGTAATACAGCTTTATGTCTATGGGTGATGAAGATAGCATTTCCACAAACCTCAGGAAAAAAAAAAAAAAGTAAAAAAAAGGAAAAAGACTAATCAATTTGGTGCAGACTATAGGACATTTGGACCCACTGGGTTAGTTGAAGATGTCCCTGCTTATTGTAGGGGGGTTGGACTAGATGACCTTAAAAGTTCTTTCCAACCCAAACTGTTCTGTGATTCTTTATTCTATGATCAGATGCATATACTTGTTTTTTATCTCTTCCCTTCACATTCTTCCTTCATGCCCTGCATTGTTTTGCATAATCATCTGAACTGCTCTTTGTAAAAACAGTTTTAGAAGCTGAAACAGTTCAGAGAAATGCTGATGCTTTCATTGGGGCTTTTTTGTATATTTAAACCAGTTGGATGGGTTTGAGAATCTGGTTCCCTGGTGCACAGGCGTGACCTACTTCTACTAAGAACAAATTTGACCTTTTCTCGTGATTATCCACTGCCTGATGGTATATTCATGAGTAAAAATAACTCCTTGCAAGCCTCCAGACATTAAGGGATATATAGGTTCTGAAATGGATATACTAACTCCAGCCCATATAGATAGCTCAGTTACTCAACAGCTGCCCACTCCTTTGCTTAAAATTTATCTGTTTTGCCAGAAACATTACTTTAGAGGTGTGATGGCCTTCTCAAAAAAATACAAAAAATTTCTGATGACCATCCTTAAATACTGGAAAAAATGGTGGGTTTATGCATTGAGCAAGGTAACACAAGAAAGCAGAATTCAGATTATATCCACACCTGAACTCATGGTACTGTTTAGCCTATGTTTAAAAAAGGGGAAAGTTAAAAGACTGCTGTAGAATTTAACTAACACATAAAGGTGAATTTTATTGAGGGTTTAAATTAAGGAAATGTCATTTTACAATTTGCTTGAGGGGTTTGTGGTTTGGGTTTTTTTTTTTTTGAAAAATCTTTTCTTGAGTCCAGTCACTTGGTAAGAAAATCTACTTTCAGTCTTTTTAATGGAGTAAATATCTGGGTAACTACTCTTGTGTTTGCAGACAAAAGTCCTGAAGGCATGGTACAGGATAAAAACTGCTTGCCTTTTTATTGGGGCAAATTAAAAAATCATAAACGTTTTCGGTCACAGTTTATTTGTGTGGCACAGGCATCTCTCTTAGCTTACATGGGCCTTTAATGTTCCCAACCTAACCAAAGGAAGCAGCCTTCATTATCTGTGTAAGGGCAGAAGTTCAAGGGTGTTAAAGCTAAAGGAAAGGCCTAGCAAAAACTCTGATCAGCCAAACTGGCTTCTTATGAAAAGCCGGGGGACAAAGTGAAGAGCTCAAAAGATTTTTTTTTTATACTGAATGGATCCTTCTACCCAGAGAGAAACTTTATGTTCATATAAGTATGAGAAAGCTATCTTTTCCTGTGGTTTCTTGGAGCCATCTACCAATGGGATTGTAAAAGTCCTCTTGGGCCAGCTGAGACATTGACTGAGACCTTCACTGGGACTGCAGGTGCCCAGGGCACACGGTCCAATGCTGGATCCAGGCTGCTGGGAGGTTGTTGGGTGAGCTCACCTTTGACACAGGCCTGGACGTGCCCGTACCACTCCCCGCAGCTGTCGCAGAGCAGCGTGAAAGCCGTCTCCTTGTTGCCCATCACGTACCCCTGGGCACAGACGTACAGCAGCTCGTCCCCCATCTCAAAGCCAGTGTGGCCATGCAGGATGGTGTGGGGGAAGGACGGCGGGTCCCCACAGGGCTTGTCTGAAAGGAAAACAGAGATGGCATTGTGAAGAATTCACAGTAGTCTTTTAACGCAGTGCTAACAGCAGTGCTAAGAGTTTTTCTGACGATAAACTTTTACGCATCTACAGGAATTGGATCTCATCTGTTTCATGCCCTTATGTCCCTTCACAAATATTTCCAGCTGTGATTGGGAAGGTATATATTGGGCTAAAACTGTCATGTGATTACCATAATGTTACTGACGTCTGACAGCCATGCATCTGTATGGCTTTTTTCAAACAAGTCGGGATGCCAAGTCACAGCCGTCTTCCCTGCCTGATTCTACAAAAGCTAACAAAGGCTTGGGCAGGTTGGGACTGGAAAGCAACAGCTTGGACACAGTCATTTTTCTTAACCAAGGAAATGCTTGTGGAATTGTTTAAGACCGGCACTTTGCTCTCTTCTACACTGTAGGAAGCCAGCAGAGGCTGAGCAATGGCCCAGTCCACACTCACAGAAAGAAAAGGTACAGGTGAACAACAGTCAGTTTTCAGACTATCTCTAATCTCCTAGTCTTTCTCAAATCATGTGTCTTCCCAGTTATTCAAATCTCCCTTTTTAGGCAGGAGACACCCAAAAATAAATAGTGACTTGGGCTCATCAGTTTAAGAATACCCAGGGGTAACATAGCTTTGCTGTCTGTGAGAATATGAAGAGCCAAATTTACCAGGGTATAAAACTCAACAAGATGTTTGGTAGTATTTTTGCTGAAAGCATTAGAAGCCAGGAAGAAAAATTGTTATGAATGAGATCAAAACTGGTTTTTGTTGCATTAAAGAAGTGTGGAAGGGAGGCAGGCTGGCAGCTGCCACCACCAGTGTAAACTAAATTTTAAGTCTCTTTTTCTGGTTTGAATGATCTTGGCCATTGTTAATAAGGTAGATCAAGAATTTCTAGAGAACTTTTGAGCATTGTGAATTCTCTTTCCTCAAAGGCCTTCCTCTCTGAAAAGAGCTCTTCACAAAGGTTTGACATGCCCCCTTTTCCTCCATGTTTTTTACAGTCCTTTTTGGAATAGGTACCTCTTAGTTACAGAAAAACAAAACAAACAAAAAAGTACAATGGAAGAACATGGATTTTACCAAGAAACCCAATGGGCAAAGACTGCAGTGTTGGTACAAATTATCACTTCTATATTCTTTCTCAAATATGGGAATTTTTTCCCCATGGTTCTAGAACCCTTATTGACTGTGTTAGAATAAGAACAACTGTTCCTCTTGCCAAAGTAACTGAAGATCCAAAACCTGCTTTTGTCCAGATACAGAACAACCAAAATTAAAAGACTCATGAGTTCTGGTAATTATATTGGATAGGGAAACATGGGACTTGGTCTATGTTCTAGTATTGATCTCTCCTGTTGAAATAGCTTGCTTTGGTAAAAAAACCTGACTGCTTAGCTGCTAAAGATGATGTTCCTTGAAAAGACTTTTGTTTGGGAGCTGAAAAGACTCCAAGACTATGCTCCTGGACATGCAGAAGGAGAAACATCTTCAAAGTGCACCCTTGCTATTTTGCTGCAGTCTGCTTTTACGGCATCATCATCACAAGATCTTGCAAGCCACAGTTCCATTGACACCAGTTCGTGTCCGGGGTTTTCAATGGGAAACAGGCTTGACAGAAAAGCTTTTTCAATCTCCCCTCTGCAAAAAACTCCAGCTTTCCTGCTTTCACCCAGGGACATTCTGTAAAACACTTCTGAGTCTCAGGCTGCAGCTCTTCCCATCATCTACCCACTTCTGACCCAGGCATAGGTAAATGCATGCTTATTTAGAAATATGATTTATTTATTTTTCCAGTAGTTTACCTTGTAGTGAAATGAAAATCCTATGATAAACATCCACAATCTGTGAAAGTTCCTTTGGATCAGGCTTTTGAAAATTGTCTGATAGACCTGACTAACCACTTCGTAATTGGGTATGCTGAAAAATATCTGCCACTAATATAAGGGACATGGTACTGAAGTCAAACTTTGAAGCCTGTTCTCTGTACTGTACACACACACACACATATATATATATCTACTGTCTAACACCTTCAGAAGTTAGTGGGAGTTATGCACTGACAGAAAAAACAAGCTTTTGAGGCTACACAAAGCTCAGTTTATATAGAATCTTATGGAGGTTTGACATCCGAGGAAGTGAGGAGCAGTTAGCAGCTAATGCCTTTCCTGTGAACTGGTCAGATGAATAGAGATTGATGTGGATGAAAGGTATAAAAAAATATTTTATTGCCTCATAGGAAGGCTACAGAGCCTTGCATTTCATGTACTTTATGTAGCTGCTTCTATGCATACAAATGGGAGCTGTGTATCTGTTCTGAGGGAAGTATTGATCCCAAGGCTGTATAGGACAATTATACATCAGAGAGTATTCTTATCTATAAAGTCTTGCTTCTTAATCCTGTTGCCAGAGGAAGCAGAGAAGCCACACATAAGTTAACTGTGGCAAACACATCCAAAAAGCACATTATAACCTCCCAGGAAGGAAGAAATCTAAAGGGATCTTTACAGTAAAATTTTACAACAGACATGGTAACAGAATTATGAGAGCCTGAAAGAGATCTGGCTGATGCATGAATAGAAAGAAAAGCAGTGATTTTAAAGATGTTCATGGACTGACACTGTGTGGGGAACTTTTGACTCTTTAACGTGAGACTTTGCAAGGTCTGCATGTTTGCTGCAGAGCATACTGACTGACAGCATGGACAAGCACAAGTGAAAGCTGCAAAGACAAACTCAAGCTCCTACATCCATTTTGTTGCCGTCCTCTTGTGCATAAAAGGTACAGGAATTTTCCAGGTTTCAGCATCTTATGTCTCCTCATCCTGCTGCAGTCTCAGTTGCTATGACAATTCCTGCTCAGCCTTTTGCCAAACCTGTTCCTTCTTGGCACACGTACAGAAGTGACACTGGCACAGCAGCTCATCAAATTGAGCCACTTCTGGGGCTTCATGTTTTTGTCTGCAGCCTTCGTACCAGGAGCTGGAAGAGCATGGGCTTATTTGGAACAACAGTCTGTGCTCAGTGCTGGCATTCAAGCCATTTTCTTGCTGGAAGAGAGGAGGCAGATCTGGGCCACCGAAGCATGACAGAGGGTGTGTTGGCAGCAGCTTGTCATGTAGAGGAACAAGAGTGCTCTTTGTTAAGGTGACCACAGGGGTGCTGTTGGGTAGATGAGGGCTGGGCTCCTCCATCCATCTGGAGCACTGATTTTTTCCTCATCTATCCTCCCATAAACCAGCATGTTTTCTTGCTACTGGCTAAAAAATTCACCCAATTCATGCTTCCCAGTAAAAAAAGCTGGATCTGCCTGATACTCGAGGGCCATCCAGCAGAGCATCAAGCAGGTCCCATGCTCTGCCTGCATATGTCCAAGATCATATTTTAAGCCTGAACACTTGGAATTAGTTTCTGGGCATCATGACCCGTCCAGAATTTTCTACGTGTTGACACTGTGGTCAAACACGTAGCAGGCCTCCATATGTTAACAACTGACCTCCAGTAACAGAGGGTAGATTTGGCTTCAGAGCAAGACAGCACAGCACAGATATAAGGAAATTCATTAAAGTTCACTGGAGATCCTCATGTCAGCAGTAATTTGGCACAGACTGTGTCCTGCAGTGAAAGTCACCACTACAGACAAGAAAGACCTCAATATACACGTGCAGAAGTCAGAACAGAGTCAACATCTGGTAAATTAATGGGAATAAGTGGCACAGCAAAGATATGGGTGTTGAGCACAGATAAGTAAGTTAGGGCTAGTGACAGCTCTGGTTACAGACCTCTTGGAGACTCAGTAACTATTTTTTACATGGGACTAAAGAGATCTCCTCTTGAGTTAGCACATTCAGTCATGATTGGCTTTTAGGAAAAATATCTCCTCAGAATAGTAACTTTAACCCCAGAACACATGTGGAAAGGAGTTTGTGACAGGTGATTTCTGCCAAATAGTTGCCATATGTCATTTTAAGAACACAGCAATTCTCCTCCCCAGTCCAGATGACACCAGAAGCATCTTCTTTATTTGAGCTATGAGTATCCCATTAGTCTGTAAAGACTTTTTTTTGAGATGTCTTGATAAAATACTGTCTACAGAAAGGACAGCCTAAGATCAATGCCAAAAAAATCAACACGAAGAAGATGCAGACTTCAGCTTCCACATCACCTGGCAGAACCAGGAATTTACTGAAATCTGATTATCTACAATTGCTGCTTTAATCTGAAAGCTGACATGAGACATCCACTTTGACATAAAATTTTTCCCCTTACAACCATCCAATTCAGTGGAGTTTTTCCAGAGAGGTCACTGGAATTTTTAGGATGTTATCCTGTCATTAAGAAATTTGAAAATGCTAGAAATGACTCTTAACAGTCAGATCTGTGAATGAGATGAGTGAGGATGTTTATTTTTCTTCTTGATTGCAGAGACCCGAAAGTATATGGAATTTTTCTGTTTGGATAAAAGTACTGAGTATGAAGAATCAAAACTCAATTATAGCCATTGCAAGTGTTGCTTGTAAGCTACCAGTGCTAGGATGCCAACATCTCTTACATCAGACAGGGCATGTAGGACTTTATTGGTTTAAGTGACATCACCAGAGAAGTGGGAATTAATTGTCAACTATATGCAAAGCCATGAAAAATAAAGCTGTAGCACTAAAAAAAAAATTATAACAAAAAAATATAAATAGTTCAAATATTACACAAAGCAAACAGCAGTTTGATTGCTCTTGTGAAGTACACTTAATATATTTGCTGTAAAGCATACACTAATTTCTTTTTTTCTTACTGCTGAAAAAGGCTGACTGAAATACGTACATAAACCATCATGATTTGATGGATATCTGGAGCCAGCAGTCATGTTTAAAAAGTTTGATTTGCATTTATGCTGTACCCTACTACAAGTTGCTGCCTGTTTACTTTTCCTGTGGTGGCAGCAAATCAAAGCCTTATGGAACAGATCTTATTTGTTGCCTGTAAATATCAGTGGGTCACTGGAAGAAAGAACCAGTAAAACTTGAGGGTTATTAACAAAGAGATCTTTCCTTGCTGCAATAAAAAAAAAAAAATTACTAATTGGTAATCAAGAGGATTTTATATATATATATATATATATATATATATACACATATATATATATATATGAAATTGAATGGTATGTGTTATTACAAAAAAAATAAGGCAGGAAAAATTCCAGCTTTCTGTTTTTCTTGCTTTACCTACTTTATACTTTGAGATATTTTCTTATGAACTCTATCAGAGATACACACTCTGTGTGCCAGATCTAACTTTTGTGTGATACTGCATTTTCAGAATTGGCAGAATCTAATATATTTTTAGATATTTTTTGGCACTCAGGGCCTACAAGGGAAACTTTCTGATCTCAGCAGATCTTGAGCTGGTACAGAGTTGTCTTGCTGTCTCTAATGGCTGCATAAAACATGTGTTTATGAGAAGCTGAGAAGACACATTTCTCTGTACTGTGAAAACTGCAGCTATACTCAGAGCATTCATAATACATTACAGCTACATCTTTCCTTGTCAAACAGAACCCTTAGAATGAATTCCCTGTAAAAGATAACTCTTAGTCTCAACAATCTCTGTGATTCTTCTGTGTGGATCAAAATCCATTTCAGAAACAAAACTAAAAACTGTCTCTTTCTTCAGGACTTGTATTTGTAAAAGCCTGATGCCTTAAGCACACCCAGAGCTCTTGCTAGGACCTGACTACTGCCCTGGTGTGGGGGCATGCTGAGATGTGTGCTTAAGGAATCTGACTCCACTCATTTGCATGGTAAATGTTAATTGAGTAAAGATTAGTTATAAATCAAGGGATAAGAAGTGAATTTGTCATGGGTTTTACTAGAACTTTCATGGTGTTTCGAGATGTGTTCTTCACAGGCCTAAGAACTGAAGGTAGAGTTGCAAGTAGTTATTAACATCAGCTTAGTTTCTGAAGTAGAGGTTGATGTGGCTGTTCACTCTGTCTATTTTCAACGTACCAGTCTGTCTGAGCCTTTGGCTCTTCTCAGGCAATTCTGACTAAGAAGGAAAGCTGCTATCTGCTCCTTATTAGCTGGATGGATATAAAAGAAGAGAAAGGGCTTGAAGAAATTAATATAGGTCTCAGTGTAAGAAACCTGGGATTTATCACTTTCAGCAGAGCAAAACATCTTGCCTTTTGTACTTAACTCTAATGTACTACTATATTATAATTGCAAATGTATAGATTAAAAGTGGTGTCTACTTTTCTAAGACTAAACAAAATATTCATGAGGTTTCAAGTAAGAAGCAACTCATTAATCCAAACTTAGATGTGTAGTTATTAGCAACATGTACATAAGATCAGAATATATATGCTGTGTGTGAGGTTGTGGTGCAGGGTTTACTCTTGCTGCTCCTTACTGGATATTTGCTAAAACTGGAAGTGGCATCCCTGAGGATGTTTTTTCATCAGTCAGCAGCTCTGTGTTGGCTTGTGTGTTACTGTTGTAATGTTAAGGCTGTTTCCTTTCTGGACTTAGCTCTTTTCATACCAGCTACAAACCAGGTTCTGACACACAACTTCACTTAAGTCTTTCTGTTCAAACATCAGCTCTGCATCCCAAGTTTTTAGTATATTTAGAGAAGAGGGAACCTTAGAATCATCCAGAAATGTTTCCGTGTGTTAGGACTACTTGATGAGTGCGTTGGGATGATCATCTCATTCCGTCATCAGAAAATTCCCTGCCCTCTACAAAACAAATTCTTCATAACTTGTACATTCTTTGCAAGCTATCTGAATTTCCCCAGAGTTTAAAGTATGCAGTTTCTGAGTCCCTCATTGCCAGCATAGCCTTGTGTGGTTACTTTCTTGTCTGCCCCTTTACCATGAGCAGTAACCAAACACAAAAAGTAAACACAGCTCCTTTTCCAAGATCCAGCATCCACGCGTAAGCTCGGATGGAGCAGGTGGGGACAGTCAGGGGAGCACAAGGGCACAATGGAACAATAGTGGCCAGAGCAATGATTTCAGCATCTCACAGCTGTCCCAACCCACTCCAAGGTTTTTCTCGGGGTGGGGGGGGATGATGACAAAAGATGTTTGAAGGAAGACAATGAGAGAGTTTTGCAGATGTTTACAGGGAGCTGGTCCTATGTGTGAGCAGAAGCATGGAGAAAGCACAAAGGTGCTTGTGTGACCACATTAGCAATTGGGTGACAGGGTTGGCATTGCTCACAGCAGCACGGAGCCTGGAGTTGATATCACAAGGGTTACTTGAGAGGATGGTCAAACTCTGCTAAAATCATTCTTTCTAAAAAGAATGATTTGGTATAGATCAAATACGCATCACCTCTGCCATGTTTTGCTTCAACCATATTTTCATCCACACTCCTGCCACTGACAGTTCATCAGAATGCCCCCCGTGTGCTGTGAACCTACTGTTTCCCAGTGAATACCATCAGCTTACCCTTGCTTTTCTTGGAAATCATATAATATAATCCTATCATATATATCCTATCATATATATAATCCTACCTATCAGTAGCAATTTACTTTTTGCCTTCAGAATTCATCTTTGTTTGTGGGTTCTGAAACTTAAATATTGAAAAATTAAAGCACGAACTTACATTGGAAATAATTTGGTTTTCAGATTCATCTGGGATATATCAGCATCTCTAGCAGCCTGGTCTACACTTTAGAAAAAAACACTCAAACTAAAGCAAAATTAAACTAAAATGGAGGCAATGAAGTTATTTGCATACAAATGTTGTACACTGATAGGTATACGACAGGGTGGTGTGTTACAGCTGGAAACCAGCTTGCTGAGTTACGTTCAGCTACAGTGCTGAGTAAGGGACACGCTTCAGCCGTCTCCATCAGATTGGTGCCATACATATTCCTTTCCATAAAATATGTTCTGTGAGCACCAAAATTGATTCTGCCAGACCGGTGGTGCTGTTTGAATTCACTAAACTGCAGCAAAGACAAAAAATAATACAATTTATTTGCTGCAACCAGTGTCTTTGCAGCAACTGGCTCTTGTAGTGGGCAATTACTACAATGATTTATCCCTTAACCTTCCCTCTTTCTCTCTCAGCAGTAGAAAAATTGAAGGCAAAACTTTTAATGTTGCAAGACAGCGACAACTCTGCGTTATTTCAAAAGTATATCAGTGCTGACCTTCATCCTTTACACAAAAAGCATCATATTGGTCATTCACAAAGGGATCGGTTTCAATTTTAACATCAATGGCTTTCACGCTCTGCTGTTTGCTGCCCGTCTTTCTGCATATAATTGTCCTAAAATAAAGAAGAAGAAGAAAAAAAATAATCAGAAATCTTCTGGAGTTGTACACGCAGGTGAAATTTGGAGATTTTTTATCAGAGTAGTCAGGCTTTAGCCTTAACAGTTTCAGCATTGGCACATAAAGTAGTAGAGTGGGAAGATCTATGAAAAAAAGCCAAGGGAGAAATAGAAGTAATTAGAAAAATGTTTGCTGTAGATCAGTTCAAGGCATAGGGAGCAATAAAGGATGTTTATCTTATTATATTCTGTAATACTTCTAAATATCAGACCTATACCCAGAGTATTTAAGGCTATGTTTTGTTCTCACATACATATTCCCACCAATGGCACCTGGATAGAAATTAATAGGAAACTCAATATTTGATCTGAAATTTTATAAATCATTAGCATTTACATTAAAGAACCATTAAGGTTGAATATTTAACTGCTCTCAAGCTAACACAGGCAAACTCGGAAAATTCAGCTTGGGTTCTTGGAAGAAAACAGCCTCTTTTTTTTTAAATAGCAATTTCACACTTTTGAGTAAACTCCATTTCTTCTGTTTTGGTACTCAGCAGTACCTAATCCATCCTGTTGGCCCTGATAGGCTTGAAGAAAGGTATTAATTAGTTCTGTGTTGGGTTTTACAGCCCTGTAGATGCTGATGATGAAGTAAGAGTTTGCTAATTATCTTTCCTCTCAGCTGTACTGGCTGCTTAAAACTAGTAAATGGAAGAGAGTTTGTTGTGGAAAACACTGGTTTTACTGTTACATTGAAGGTTACAAAGGCTGGGAAAGTCATTTCAGCCCAAATTTCTGCAGCTGGATATTAATGGTGTGGGTTTATATTTCTGTGGACAGCAAGCTTGTAGAAGTGTTGCACAGTCAGCTATTCTAGTGAAAGGAAGATAAAAATGCTTTCCACAGAACTAATCCTTCCAGTGGAGGAAATTTATCATTTTGTATTGTGCAATGGTTGAACTAATGTGCCACCAATCCTCCACTAAATTTGAGGAACAAAAGAAGATAAAATAAAATACAATAATATAAAAAAATAAAATAAAGTAAATAAAATTCCCATTCGTTGATGGTGGAAAAGATCCAGTGGAAACCCAATATTTGATCATGCACTTAAATACTATATAACTATTGATTTATAGAAATGGACTGAATTATGGTTGCACAGACTATTTTCATTCAGGCATGTGCTAGCTTTGGAGTAGTTAAATATGCAACTTTAATGTTCTTTTAATAGAAACAAACAAAAGCAACATGAAATGAGCTGTATGGTGGTGGTCACACATATGCACCAGAATGGTTCCTGCCACACTTCTGCTCTGGAAAACAACATGATGTCATTCCCTGCTGAAAGCCCCTTTACAATTTCAAACCAAATATGTTTCCTTTGTAAAGAAAGCTCCACTTGAGTTTTTGAGGGGAAAAAAAATCCCTTCCAAAAAGTCCCTTTTTAAGGACAATATGGTCCCCACAAATATTAAATCCAGTTCTCTGAGAATCAAATGGATTTAAAATCTGAGACCTCTAAGTTAGTAATTAAGCACTTAGACTGCCAAAATGAGTTCAGATGACTGGGAGGATCAGTACACCGGTTAGAAATTTTCTGTATGTATATAATATTCACATATTGTTATGCTGGGTCTTGCTGGGTCTTACAGGATTTAAGAGAATGAAACACTTTTGCCTCCCTTCAAAAATTAACTCATCAACCTTAATCTTTCCAATAATTATTGAGTTGCTTAGATATCTGGATCAGTTATGTCCTGCAACATTGAGTAGAAAGATAATGATATGACTGAAAAAAAATGTTCTTTTTGTCTGTAATTTTGTACTTAGGCTTCAGACTCTCTCTCCCTCCAAAAAAAAAAAAATAGGAAAAAAAGAAAAGAAACCAACAAAATAAAACAAATTAAACAACTTGTTTTGAAGACTTTTACCATCATAAAATTGTGGTCTCTGAAAATCAGGTAACATTCACTTCTATGTTCTATCAAAGACTAAAATTCCTGAGACTTGGAAGCCACTTTTGACATTCTTATCTTGAATTTTCTGATTTCTAATTCCAATTTCTATATTTATGTATTTTGCTTCTGCCCAAAACAATGCAATTTCTTTATCAGTTTTTCATCAGGCTACAAGGTTATCTGTGGATGACACATCCTTGGTACAATGAGGTCATTTGCAAAACAGGATATCTGGCTCATGAGTAATATCATGTATTTAAAGTGCTAGTTTTTCTCACTTTTTTTTCCCAAATATTGTACAATAAATTACAAGTTTGCAGTTGATAGGTTTTATCAATTAGCTAATGTATTTTAAGAACCTTTCTCAGCTGCTATTCAGTGTGACCAAACTTACAAAGGTGTACCTTACATATAGTTTCAACATTATATGTAAAGAAAATCTTTAAATTAAGGTCTTTTAAGTGTATCTACATGCATTTGCTACCTAGGACTTTAATTTAGAATTTTGTTGTATTAAAATTTATCCAGTTAAAACTGCAAGCATCCTAATGCAATCCTTCTGAAATGAAAGAAATCTTGTCTTGCGCACAGAACACAGTACTGGGTCTTGATTATCTCAGATGTCTTTTCATACCTTAATGATTTTATGATTCTAAAAACTGAAGGAAAAAAAAATCTATTTAATCTTTTTCATTCCTTCTTCTCTGAGAGTGGTTTCCCACCTCAAGCTCAGTCCTGCAAGCTTTAAACACCTTCAGTAAGCTGTTATTGATGCTGATGACTGAGCTTCAAGAGTGCTCAGCATTTCTCAGTAGCGGGTCAATCAGACCACAGCATAGAAATAGTCTCTTTGCAATCAGTAGGAATTCAGGTATGACTAAAAATACACATTAACAGTCTATTTTCTGAGTTCTTGAGGGTTTCCCTAAATCCTGAAATGCTAGCTGTTAATCTACAGTTAGAACTTAAATACGCATGTATACTTTTGTCACAGTTCTGAAAGTTAGAGTGTGATGCTTTAAAATTTGTTACAATTTTCATGACTGAAAAATGGCTACCAATTCAGAATTCATTATATCTTGAAATTCCTTCAACAGCAGCACAGCCATGCTGAAATAAGAGACAAAAATTGTACAGTTGTCCTACTCTTTCCAGCACCCTGCTGAGATGTGTTGCTGCCTGGTTTGTTTCTTGACTGTTTTAAATTATTGCCCTGGGGCATGCATCATGGCTGAGAGAATGTCACAAACTTTATACTTTTTAGGGATACATCCACCTACACAGCCATTCAGAAGAAAGCAATCATGTACATTTAATCCTATTTATGGATACTTCCATGCATTAATTGAACTGAAGCTCATTACTCAGCATACAATGTCATCTGATGCTCAGAGCAGTGTAGTGCTTGATTTTCTGCCTTTTAGTTAAGAAACAGATTTGATTTCATTTTTTCCTTCTGTGGGCATTTCTGATGAAGGCAGATGTTCTCAGAAGAAACATACTGAATTCAGACAGCATATCACCCATAACAATGGAATATGATGCACATCTGCCTGAAACATCCATGCATCCCTGAAAATTACTCTTACATGGCCATGAACTCACAATCTCAGCATAAAAATCAATCAGAAACACTATCACCATAGACATGAAAGTACTGCCTATTATCCAGGAAGATCAAAATGTCATTGGTGGTGTTGAAAACAGCCCTTGCTCTCTGATGAAAAATTGGAAGGTGCCTGAAGGTGTCTCCTTTGTTTCCTTGACAAACTACTGAGAATTTTCCCAGTCTACTCCTACCCAGCTTGGAAGGAAAAACTTCTTCATGACTCCTCTTCTCTTCCCAAGAGAGAAAACAGGAGACCAGGAATTCTGCACTGTGTTGAACCTCAGCTTAACTCCTGCTGTACAATACAATTCAGCCAACTATGAGCAATTAACAGTCCTTCTTTTGTACCCACCTTGGAAAAAAGATCAGAGCTTGGCTAACCTGATCATTGTTTTCCTGTGCCATGACTCAGATATTGCAGATATCATGTGCACACACAAGGAGAAAATCTAATATGTAGCGCAATAAGACTTCCCAGAAGCCTTCAGCTTGCTCTTGTGCTGCTTAAATTTTTCTCTAATGTATTATGTAACGAATGAGTAATTGGTATATTTTGCTCTTCTTTTAATTCCTCTGTTTAAAGATGGACATAGCAGAAAAGCTGGCATGATTAGTATTCATTTTACAGTATGCCATAATATGCCATAATATAATATGTATTAATAAATAAATTATAATTATAGGCTTGAACTGTTGTGATTATAGTTAATGTCATAAATTGTATGTACATATATATAATAAAGGTATTTTTAATAAAAACATTGTGTTTTTATATAAATTATAACTTTTGTTTATAGTAGTATCCACTGATAATTTTGCTTTCTAAGAAAATTACAAGGCAATTTAGTAATACTTGCAAATTTTTCAGTAAGCCCAAGTTAAAACATATGGATTTGACAGCTGAGAAAGCGTGATCCATCAGCTCAGAAAACAGTAGGTGGGACATTTTTTGTAGTTGCTGCTTTATCTGCCAGTTGATTTTAGCTTTCGTAGTCTTAGTCAATAAATTCACTGAACTGAGTCAGAATGGTCTTATGACATTGATTCATAGTAGTATGAGCTTGCAATATATTCAGCTCAGAAGAACATCAGGAACAATGTGTTTGTTGAGGCACTGTGAAAGTCTGGTTCATAACATACAATAAGAAACCCTCCCCTAATTAGAAAGTTAAAAACTTCATCACTTTTCTTAGTCAAGATAAAACTTTAATATGTTGTGCTAATTCTTTTTCATGGGTCAGCTTTTCTCTTTGTGTTTCAGTAACTAGGTAAGAGAAAAAAAAAATCAACAGTAGTCTGGGAGTCAGACTAGGGGATTTTTATTCTTAGCCTTTCCCCTCTGTATTTTGGGAAACTGCAAATTACAAAGCTGGCTCTGATGAGGAATAAACTATAAATGACATGTTCATGACTACCAAAGGGA